AGGTAAATTTCGCCTTATCACCCTAAATTGTGTGAAAGAAGAAAAAGAACAATAGCATGAAAAAGAAAAACAAAAAAAGAGAGAGAGAGAGAGACAGGAGGAAGGATACAAAAAGTACAGCTGCTAATTTTGCGTATCCATGATGGGGCCTCTTGTATCCATGGTTTTGGTCACGAATCCACCGCTCATAGGTTTCGAGGGTCAGGGGATCGGCGCTGGGTGGGCAGATTAAAGTTAGCTTCTCACTGAAGTGGCCATCTTCCCCATCTTATTGCGTGTCATTTGTATTGGCATCCGGCGGACGGCCGCGATCAGCATCGGCCCAAACGGCCACTTGTGAATGAAGCTCTCCATACCGTCGGCTTTTCCGCCTTTTTAACGAGAACTGACGTTGATATTGTACGTGCCCTTTTTTTTTTTTTTTGTTTTTTTCTTTTTTGGTACAAATTTTTATTCCCGGACCCGCTCCTCCACAGTCTAAGTAAGGTAGGGTAAGGGTCCCACTGAGTGTAGCTTCCGCTGTACCCCTTCTTCACTTCGGCTTTTCCCTCATTTTTCCCACTTTCTTTTCCTATTAATATTGATCATGGTGTAAAATAGTCCTTGCGTTCTTCCCTCCTGTCAATTATCTCTCCTCTCTTTCTGTCTTAGTCAGTCATTCTTTGATACCCTCATTTTGACCGTGTCACGTCCGAATCAGAGGGACACCCGTCGCTCCTTTATCGTTCTTTTGGCTTTGTACTCTACGAAGTATAACCTATATATGCATGATTTGCTTAGCATCGTACTATCATTGTGAATTGGGTACCCGCAATCACGGAATATGGCCCGTGGATTCCTCTCTGTCTTCAGCACCCTGCTGCTGTCTATGGGGGCGCTTGCCGAAGATACTTGGCCGTATATGACTCTACAGACGGCTGACTTCACGCCTCCTCAGCTCGAGGTGAAAAAGACTGGAACTACTGACCCTGGCTACATCTTCATTGGGCCTCGGGGTAACCAGCCGAATGGCACTGCGGCCCTCATCTACGATGAGGACGGCAACCTTGTGTATCAAGGTCCTACCGAGGTGTCGGCCAACTTCAAGGTGCAGAACTTGTATAACAAAGATGTCATCACCTTCTGGGCTGGTAACATGATGGAGCTTGGCTTTGGCTACGGCACTGTCCACATTCTTGATGACACTTATGAGGAGATCTACACTGTCACCCTTCCAGGGAACTTCGTCTCCCCTGATGGCGTTGTTAGAGACTCTTATATTGATCTCCACGAGAGCCACGTAACCAGTCGCAACACTCTGTTGGTGACCGCTTACAACATCACTCAATTTGATCTGACTTCTATTGGCGGTAAAATGGATGACTATATGCTGGATGGCATGTTTTTCGAGATCGATATCGCAACCAACAACATCGTGTATCAATGGAGTGCCCTTGAACATATACAAGATCTCCCCCTGGAAAAGTCCAAGCAAGGTCTGGGTGACGACTATGGCACCCAAGAAAAGCCATGGGATGCGTACCACATCAATTCGGTGGAGCTTGTAGATGGAGGATGGATTATCTCTCTGCGTCACTACTGGTCCGGCTACTTCATCGCCGAGAACGGCACTATCATGTGGCAACTGAGTGTAAGTTTTTGCTCTTGGATGCTAATTACTTTCAACACTGACGGTTTCTTTAGGGTGAGAAGGGTGTTGGGGACTTTGAAATCGACGATGGTGCCGTCTTCTCGTGGCAGCACGACATGCGCGTCTACAACCAGACGAATGAGGGCATGGTTCTGGACCTGTTTAACAATGCCAACACACCCACGGAAACGGTTGCTCCCACCACTGGTCTGAGCCTGTCATTAGACCTGGTTAACCGGAAGGTCACTACGCTGCGGACCATGAACGATGGCGATGATGTCATCCACAGTGTCAGCCAGGGAAGTTACCAGCTGATGAGCGAGGAAACAAGCCATGTCTTCATAGGTTACGGTTCTATTTCGAAGGTAAAGGAATTTGATGCCAACAACAATGCGGTTCTCACTGCCCAATTTGGGGATGACAATGCCGTTGCGTCCTACCGTGGCTACAAGTGCCAGTGGAAGGCTACACCTTTCTGGAAACCTGCCGTCGTGGTGGAGCGGCACTCAACTTCTGCCACTGTCCATATGAGCTGGAATGGAGCCACTGAGTATGACAACTGGGCCATCTACACGGCTAGCTCTCCTGAGTCTACCGATCATACCTTCATTACATCTGCCAAACGGACAGGCTTCGAGACCGCTGTAGATGTAAACAACTTGAGGAGCCCTTATTTCCAGGTAGTTGCTCGGAAGGGCAACGTTCCACTCAGCAGCATTATTGTTCCTGTTGCTTAAAATCCTCCGTGTCAAGCTTTGAAGACATGTGACAAGTCCAGTCGTGGTGCGAACCTAGGTTTGTGTCACGGACGTCGCTAGCCGTGTGCATCTCGTTGGAGATCATGCGAGACATTCCTTGTAAATCGTTGATTTGTTGTGTTTTTGTACATACTCACCATTGACTCTACATGTAAATACCATCCGCTGTGCAGGATATTGAATTCAGACATGATTGTGACCTTGAAACTATAACCATTCAAGATATTGAACCTTTTGATTAGCTCACACTCGTACTACGATGCATAGCAAACTATAACCTACATATATAAGGGATGATCGTTAAAAGTTCGCCAAGGAACGCCTCGACGCCGCTACCAACAGTAACCACTGGGGTAGACCCCATGCATGTGGAACGGAGATAGCACTGCATGGTTGCCCAACATAAAACCACCAGGATGTTAACGGCTGCGTTACACCCGCTCACAAAATATGTACCTGTTCCTTGCCTATAGGAAAGCTACATATTGGATGTAGCAGTATGAAGCGATTACCGTGCCCTTGTCAAACCTTAAGTTACCATACTATATAGATACGATGGTGCCTTTGCCGTAACCTGTGCTCAGACTTGTCGCTCACTATACATACATGTAGTCGAATAAATACACCGATCATTGTAATACTCTCCATTTACGCAACGAAGTCAATGACCTTCTAGTGTGTGTACTTGAGGTACACTGACCCAAGAACTATACACAACCTCCCCCCTTGCAGCAACACCACCGTCCAAAGGTAAACCCCGGGGAGATTCCACAAAGGTACGACGTTGAGGAATGTCCGGTCTTACCATGAACCAATGGCAGTACACAGAGTATACCAATTTAGACATATACAAGGATATGGATACAAACTGTACACAGAGCAAGCAATCAACAATAGTATAAAAAGGCCCTCTCTCCCCTCCAAGAGAAGCACAACTCAATAATAAAAAACCCCTCCAAACCAAATCATCTCAATCAACACCATCAATCTCAAAACATGCACTTCCTATCAACCTCCCTCCTTACCACCATCACAACCGCCCTCCTCCTCCCAACCCTCACACCTGCCAACCCCGTCTACCAGCCCCAGAACCAAACCAATTACCAGAACCAAACCAATTACCAGAACCAAACCAATTACCAGAACCAAAGCAGTTACCAGAACCAAAGCAGTTACCAGAACCAAACCTCCTACCAAAACCTTGAAACCACCCAACTCGGTCACGCAATCGTCCGCAACAACTGCGTATTTCCCATCTACCTCTGGTCCGTATCCTCGACCGTCGGCGAGCAGCAAAACATAACCCAGGGCGCCTTCTACGCCGAGACATTCCGGCAGGATCCGCAAACCGGCGGCGTGAGCATCAAGCTCACGACTGTGCCGGACGGGCTCTCGACCTCTGCGCCGCAGACTATCTTCGCGTATACCCTTGTTGCGGATAGGGTTTGGTATGATCTGTCAGATGTCTTTGGGGATCCGTTCAGGGGTAGTAGGGTGGTTTTGGATGGGGAGGTTACGGATATTGTTTGGGAGATGGGGGTGCCGCCTGCTGGGTCTAGGGTTGGGAATCAGAGGGCGGGGGTGGATTTGGTTTTGACGCTCTGTTAGGTAGTGTCCTTTTTTAGGGGTGGATTTAGGGGGTTTGTTTTTTTGTTTTTTGTTTTTTTGGAGGGGTATTGGATGGTGGTTCATGAGGGTGATTGGATTTAATGGTAATGCTTGGTTTTAAATGGGTTATTGGAAACCAGAATGATGCTTAGCTAGTTATGGTGGTTGCGCAACGGAGATCGTCATCCCTTACAGTCCTCGTCAGTTCTACTCAGCTTAGAAATGAAAAGGATAACCAAAAAAAAAAGAAAAAAGAAAGAAAAGAGAAGAAAAGAAAGAAAGCAAGTTGTAGCTACTATTGAGCACTCCGCGAGGTCGACCGGGGCATATCATTGAACCACGAATGCTTCAATGCACTCGCTGCACTGATGCGCATCTCCGGCCGCAACTGCAACATGCGTCTCAACAAATCGACGCCCAAGTGGTCGATTCGCGAAACAACCTGCCGCAGATCCTGCGTCGCATAAACTGGGAAATCAGGCTTGTACTCCGGGAATTTCGAAATCCCGGGCCAAGAGATCTCAGACGGCGTGCCCATCACCCGGAAGATCTTGAGTAGCTGGTCTTCGTTCGTGGTCCCTGGGAATAGCGGGCGTCCTGTGTACATCTCTGCTAGAATACAACCGATCGACCAGATGTCGATACTGGTGTTGTAACTGCGGCTGCCGAGGAGCACGTCCGGCGCGCGATACCACAGCGTGACGACTTCGTTGGAGAAGGTGTTGACCGGGATGCCGAAAGCTCTGGCTAAGCCAAAATCAGCTAATTTTAATTGGCCCTTAGTGTTGATTAGCAGGTTCTGAGGCTTGAGATCGCGATGCAGAATCCGGTTCTCGTGGCAATGCGCGACGCCTCGGAGTAACTGGTAGACAAAGGATTTGATGAGATTCGGTTCGAGCTGGCCGCGATTGCCGTGGGTATCCATATAACGTTTAAGATCCTTGTCCATGTATTCGAAGACTAACATGAGCTTGTTCTCGGTGTGGACGACATCGTACAGCGACAGGATGTTTTCGTGCTGGAGCTCTTTCATCAGGGAAATCTCGCGAATGGCGGTGGAGGGCGTTCCTTCTTCTGTGTCAAGGTGGATCTCTTTTAATGCAACCAATTCCCCTGTTTGGTTGTTGCGACCTTTGAACACCTAAGGTAGTTTCTGTCAGTTTGCGGAGACGGACGGTGGTGCACAATTGCGGAACAAACTGTCGCATATGTTCCTTCCCCCAACTAGAAACCATTAGCTAATAATTCACCTGTATGGGTGGTGCCACAACTGACCTTCTCTAACTGCTGGAATGAGGCGTGAGGTGCCGAAGCCATTTTGACGGAATGTGGTGTAGTAGGGTATCGCGATCTCGACCGTGTTGAGTGAGGGGTAACAAAAAAAGGACGAGGGAAAAGTAATGAGGTAATCCTTGGGAGTCCATCTTAATTAAACATTATCAGCGAGACTAAGGAATAGGATCCCGCTAAACCCGAACACCCCCATCATCTTGGGTCTGAGCACTTCGTATCCTCGTCGCTTCGCTGTGCTGCGGATGGTACATCCACTTTCGGGTTATTGAGGCCACGTACTCCTTGTCGGCGACATTTATATTAATTAGGGCTGCGGCGGGATTGGAGGAGGAGCTCGTCAGGCGGTCATCGCTCGCTAGCCTATCTTAGCTGAGCATCATTTTTATGAGACAGGCCAATGTCAATAATGATAAAGAAAAGCATGATTCAAGGTCCAAGCCCTAGCAACTGCTCTAATCATTCCTCCATATCTTTGATAGTTTGTACGACTGGCAAAACCAGATAGTTTCGGACTATGCGGTGTGATTACTGCAGTAGTGCTCGGATGTAACGCTCGCGGGAGCTAAGTCTTTCAATTTTTGACATTTGAGATGTCAGAATACTGAATCTGCTTCTATTTTAATCTGATTATCAGATACAAATCTCTTGAAGGGTGCTACCGTACTTAAGGGTCAGTCTAGCACCCTTTGGGCGTAATACCGAGGGTCCGGCTCTCATTAACTGGCAAATAAGGCAAGGTGTAGCCCCGAGACACGAGAGCTTCCAACGCCTTATATGCAGGTAGACAGTCCACCTGCTAGTGGTTAGATATCTTTGATCTAGGGTGTCTGCAATTCTCCGAATTGGGGAAGCGGTGCTTGTGCTGACGATGCCGATCGATACTGGCCCTCGGTACTTCCTCATTTAGCCATATCCTTTGTGCTGGGGAGTTCTTACAAATTGGCTGTGACTTTTCCTAGGGACAGCAGCCGTTTTCTCCAAAACTCTCCTGTCTACGGTAATCTGTAATTGGCTAGAATTATATTCTAATGGGAGCGGGTGTCTTTGGGATCTCCAAATGGTGGCTTTAGTGTATTTATATGCAGTAACCTCGGCTTTTTGTCCGATTACCAGATTTGGGATCCCCGCATTTCGCGGTCCTCCCGACCTGCATGCAACTTGCAACCTCCCACTTCTTCACTTCTCCTGGCTAACTTCATTCTTGACCGCTATTTATACTCTTTACATATTCTTCTAGTCAATCTGTCTATATAGCCATTGCCTTCTCTTCTTATTGCCCTCTCTACTATATAGAGCTCCATATAACGCTTTCCCCGCATTATGGTCGCTCCCTCTATCCGTGTGGCCCCTTCGGCCGCCAACAGAGCTCTCAACCTCTTGCGTACCGTCCAATATACTCACCCGCCATCATGTCCATGCCATTCGAACCCTAACCACCACCATCATCACCGCACACCCACTCTGGCAGATCATGTCCGTCGCCACATGGCCACACCCGTTGACCCCTCACGGCAGAAGGAGTACGCCTTCGAGATGGCCGCCTCCAGTATCCGATTCGGCCCCGGTGCCACAAAGGAAGTTGGAATGGACTTTGCCAATATGCAGGCAAAGAGAGTATGCATTGTCACGGACCAAAATGTTTCCAAGTTGGACGCTATGAAGCAAGCCGTGGAAGGGTTGAGCCGTGAAGGAATCGAGTTTACGGTGTTCGATAAGGTTCGGGTTGAACCTAAGGATTATTCGTAAGTGGGATCATGTAGACCAGTTCGTTATGTACTAATTGAATTAGTGTCAAAGAGGCAATTGCTTTCGCAAAGCCATATAACCCTGATGCGTTCCTCGCAGTGGGTAAGTAGCCCACGGCCATCCCTTGAATGGCTACTGACCGCGCAGGTGGTGGATCGGTTATCGATACCGCAAAGCTCATGAACCTCTACACGGTCTACCCCGAGGCCGATTTCCTCGACTTTGTTAATGCGCCCCTTGGCAAGGGTCTTCCAGTAGAAAGGAAATTGAAGCCCTTGGTAGCGGTACCAACCACAGCAGGCACTGGGTCAGAGACGACCGGAACTGCCATTTTCGACCTCGTGTCTAAGAAGGCCAAAACCGGTATTGCACACCGGAACCTCAAGCCGACCCTGGGAATCTGTGACCCCCTGAACACGCGCACCATGCCGTCTGCCGTGCACGCCTCCTCCGGTCTAGACGTCCTCTGCCACTCCCTGGAGTCATGGACCGCGATCCCGTACAATGAGCGTACCCCTCGCCCGACCAACCCCATCAATCGTCCCGCGTACCAAGGCGCAAACCCAATTTCCGACATTTTCTCCCTGCAAGCCCTTCGCGACACCGTCAAGTATCTGCCCCGAGCTGTCAAGGACCCCGATGACTTCGAGGCCCAGTCGAAGATGCTTCTGGCTGCTACCTTAGCCGGTGTTGGCTTCGGTAACGCCGGTGTCCATCTCTGCCACGGTATGAGCTATCCCATCTCTAGTCAGAACCCCGGCTACAAGCATGCCGGATACGACGTTGAGCACCCGATCATCCCACACGGCGTGTCAGTTGCTGTTACCGCGCCTGCAGTCTTCCGATTCACCGCTGCATCCAACCCAGACCGCCATTTGGCAGCAGCCGAAGCCTTTGGCGTCGACATCTCGAACGTCAAGCGCGAAAGCGCAGGTGAAGTGCTCGGTGAAGCGATTGCCAAGTTCTTGGCTGAGCTGGGCGACCAGCCCCGTGGTCTGAAGGATCTCGGATTCAAGTCCTCGGATATTGACTCCCTGGTGGAGGGAACTATCCCACAGAGGCGGGTCCTGATGCTTGCTCCGAACCTCAATGAGGAGCTGGAGGCGGAGAAGATTGAACTGAGAGGCTTGTTAGAACAATCCATGGATTATTAAAAATAGGGGCAGGGGGGTTTGTTCTGCTGCATTTATCTTGTCATGTCTACCAATACAGTTAAATATACAATATTAGCTTCCATCAAATTCAAATAACCAAGAGATATCAACTTTCATATTGACCATGAATACTGCGGAGGCGAAGATATAATCCTAAGGATATGCAGTGTATGCACAGATGATATAGGAATACAAAGTAATTGTAACACAACAACAGTAGAAGGAAACCGTTAGTCCAAACAAGAGTACCAGCCGTCAACGCTACGTTGTCAACGACAGCAATAAATGCACTACATTTACACAACAAGATACCAAGTAACCTAATACTATGAGAGCGGTAGGTCGACTAAGACGAAAAGAATGGAAAAAGACGATAGTCATAAAGATAAGATGTATCTGACAGGACACTGGGTCAATAACATCCAGGTGGAAGACGTGTATGAAAGAACGCCAAGAACAGGGCAGTAATACAGAGTGACGTTATTTGTAGAAGCAAAAGCCGGCAAACCAATTAATATTATTAATAACAAACTGCCTTGTGGGGAATACTTCTTGTATGAAGGGCTCAAGAACCGTATGGGTGGACATGGGGGGTCTGCGCAACCCGGTAGCATCGGACCACAGAACGACTGTTCGCTCGGGTTATCTCTCAAGGGAGGGATTCTATTATTAGAAGGCAAGAACATCAGATCCGACGTTGCAGGGCATTATGTTATACTTGAACGCTCGGAAGTAAAAGGGGACGCTGAGCGATCTTACTGTGTACCTAGGCACGGATACATCATTAAATATGCCAAGAGAAAAGAACAAAAAAAACCAAGGAGTGCGGGGGAAAAGAAAAGCAAAATTAAGAAGACACAGAGGGCGGGAAGTAAGTATATGGAGTGAACCGAGGATAGGAGAAAAATGCGTACGATGTGTATATCAAGAGCTACGAAACATATATTCTAGCGTAGAAATACTGTTAGCCTGTATACATCTACCAATCAAAAGAATACCACTGAAGACCAGAGAAATGAGGAGAAGCAAATCTATACTTCTTTAGTTTTGTACCCTCAAGTCTGCAGTTTCACTATGATACATGGCTATTCAGATCCACCAAACCTCCGGATATTTCCTGCTATCGCTCTAGTGTAGGATCAAATGGGCCGCTTTAATCATGAATACGACCTCGGACCCTAAATCCTCAACCAAAGATAGAAACCGAACTATACCATATTTGATTTCTATATCTCGTGAAAATCCCCACTAACGTAGGGAAACACGAGCTCATCTTGTCCCCCAAACTAACCGCTAACCCTAAACCCGGGTGATCGACAAGGTAGCAGATTTAAAATAGAATCACCAAGCATTTAAGCACCAACCATATTATTGAGCGGGCTCTAGCGGCTACACTATATATGTAGTTGCTAGCATGGTACCTATTTGGCACTCGCGAGGGTCCATCAATTGTCTTCCAAGGAGCGTACGGCTATTGGCCTCTGCCTGCTGTTTAAATGCATCCCTGCGCGAAACTATGATTGATCTATGACGCCCTAACTCGGACCTCTGGGGGCCGTTTTTTTCAGCCTCAGATTCTATGTGGTTATTCGCGCATCAGAGTCGTGTGGAATGAATTAAAATCAGGATGAACAGTGGGGCTCGTCCAATACGATGGGAACAGACCGTCGGGTAGTGTTGTACGCTGGGTAGGGTTGAGTAAATGCCAATATACACACTGAGTAAAATAGGTTGATTGGCATTTCGAGTTACTGTCATAACTAGTATAGACTCCAGAAGTGTATACGATGGGTCCATTTTGGGACGGTGACATAAATGGAGAGAGCAGTCCATTCCCACGAGCCAGACGCTTCTTCTGATGGTTGGTTCCCACTGCGATACTGGCTACATCCACGATTGTTTAAACAGAGAATGGTTGGAGTTCCTCATAGTACTGCATGTGCACTCTGTCGGGAGCGACGTATCAAGGTGTGTATACTTGATTGCAAGCAGTCTCGGCGGGCATGAGATATCTGACATGGAAAGTGCGACCAAGCCAAACCACAATGCTCACAATGCCGCAAATACCGTCGCCCATGTCCAGGATACACGCGTTCTTTCCGCTTCCAAGATGAAAGACCAGCCTTGGAGCGTCGGCATCGATCATCCAGGAGCCCAACATCTTCTGTTGCTTCAATCGAGTCTTATAATCGTGACACAGCACCATTTGCTCACAATAGCATCATAGCTACAATGGAGCAGGTCCAACAGCAAGTTGTTGCTCCTTCAACTAACGAGCATTGCGAAATCAAGCAACAACAGCAGCTCGCGTTTACGGTATTCATAAATAACGCATTTCCAATATCCCAGGCATACAATAAATTTCGTGAAACAAACTACCCAAACTTCGCACACTACATTACTTCCAAGTTTGGTCAAAGCGTCTGTCTTGATACTTCCGCCTACAGCGTGTGCCTTGTATTCCAAAGCCGGACAGACGTGGAAGCCTCACTGCTAAACAAAGGCCGACACGCATACATACACGCTCTTAGAGCACTCCAACATGCTTTAAATTCTGAGCAAATTTCGAATAAGCCCGAAATGATTGGCACTAGTATCCTGCTCTCCATCTATGAGATGCGTGTGCCGTCCGAACCTCACAATGAATGGTCGAACCATTGCCTTGGCGTTGCGGCGCTAATGAAGGAGATGGGAGCACAGAGCTTTGCCGATGGGTTTGCACGCTCTTGCTATATTTTCTTTCGCGGGTTCCTGATTGCCGTCGCCTTTCACCAACAAAAGCCGTGTTTTCTCGAGGAAGACCAGTGGCAGCAGCTAGGAGAGAGGATCAGGGTTGAGGACTCACAGAAGCTTGGGATAAGTAGCATATTTGTGGATGTCACGGAGCGCATCTTCATGGAGCTCGTGAAGTGCCCGAGATACGTATATGAAGCACAAGTACACCAGTGCACCCAGAACTACCAACGAGCACTGGTAATGTCTTCCCAAATTCTGGGTACACAGAACAATCTGAGGTCTCTTGTAACTCAATTGAAGGATCTCATCAGCACCTACCAGCCGGAGGTCATTCCAAGCGCACCAGGATATCTCCTAAAGGGGGCAGAGGATGCCGTTCATCTCTTGGGTACTCTAGCCCGAAGACTTATAATGAACCCGATTCCGCCCTTACATGTTTATTCCGGGCTGACGTGGCTTATTGATAACATGTATATCGCGTACGATGCTCGTTGGCTGGACGAATTCGCTTGTTCAATGGGACTTTTGGGGACTACACTTGTTGATTGAGCTATGAACGCATGGGGTGTCTATCTTTACGCCAATGGATACAATAGGCTTAGGTATATGATACGAATTGATGAATGTCACTTTTACTATAATTGAAGACCAGCGGTCACAGAGATAAAGCGTCTCTAGTAGTATAATTGGGACTGCTTCCCAGCAAGAAATTTTCCATCGGTCACCGCTTTCGATGTTATTAGTTTCTTCTCATTTCGAACGATGCCTACTAGAATTCCTATAGATGCAGGATGTGGACCCTGGTCCCCGAGGTTAGTAATTGACAGAACACCTGACCCGCCAAAGTTGCCTCGTGATCAAGGGTCCTGCCTCAGGATCCCACAGATCGGAGAACTTTCCTCCGGGAGTGACTCAATCGCAAGGCGTTCACCTCTATTGATGAAATCTCTGTTCGTAACTCTCAAGCAATTCACGTTGATTTGCCTAGAAATTTGTCACTCTTTCCCCAAATAGATTTCTATCTGCATAATTATATAATTAAATACCGATAGAAGTATAGAGACCCACCGTCGTGAAGACCGAGAGTCATCAGCCAAGCAAAGACGAATTGTCCAAGTTCGGCTGCACGGTGTGTGTCCTCCGCCTGGGATTGGATTCAGAACTGTGGACTGATTGATCTTCCGCTTTTTAGTCTGGTGGATATAAATTGACATTCCACCCAGCTTTCTTCTTGCAAGCGATCGTTTAGAGGAGTACGTACAGTACCTTTTACTTGTGCCCGACGCCTTATCGCTACCCCGCTACCCCACGTTTTAAATTCTCGGTCTCCCAACTGACCGGTTCGACCTTAGCATTCATAGACTATAGACGCAAAAATGCCTCCCGTTATTCATTGCGTGCGCCATGCTCAGGTACTCCTGCGATGGCCCTTTCCACACGCTAAACTCACTTTTAACACATCAACCAGGGCTTCCACAATCTCTGCACAGAAAACCATGTCATTCGCGACCCCCTCCTCACTGACCTGGGCAATGAACAATGCCGCAAACTCTCCGAGAATTTCCCCTTCCATGACAAGATCGATCTCATAACTGCCTCTCCTCTCCGTCGTACCATCTACACCGCATTGCAGGGTTTCGGGCCTGTTTTTGAAGCGCACAAGGACACGAAATTGCTTCTCCTCCCCGACGTGCAAGAAACCAGCGACGTTCCTTGCGACACGGGTAGCGACCCCGTTGATTTGCGAAAGGAAATTGAGGAGAATGGATTGCCTGTTGACCCAACATTGGTGCATGAGGGATGGAACAACAAGGTTTGTTGATCCATCTTTGAGGGTCACGGTGCTACCCGAACAATGGGATAGAGGGTTAATATGAGACTAGACTGGTCGGTATGCCCCGACTCACGCCGCGATTAGAAAGCGAGCCCGCGAGGCTAGACGGTGGTTGAAGGCGAGACCTGAGAAGGAGATCGTTGTTGTGACTCATGGTGGGTTCTTGCATTATTTCACGGAGGATTGGGAAGATAGCAGCCAGTACCAAGGTGAGTTGTTGTCTCTTTGGACAACCCAAGAAAGTGAATGGTTAACCATAAACAAGGAACGGCTTGGGTTAACACCGAATACCGTACTTACGAGTTCTCGTCTGATATCCACAAGACTGATGTGGAAGGCCACGAGCTTGAGGGCGAGGACGCAACTTTGGTTGAGACTATCTCTTCGCGCGAACGTCGTGGCAAAGAAGGCCCGGCACCTGACCGGGAGACTCAGAAGGCCCTGTACAAGAAAGGAACCCAGGGGTGGGATGACCAGGGTTTGCAATTGAGCACGGCTGAACGTCAAGCGGCCAAGGTTCCAGAGGGCAAAGAAGTTGATGGTGTCCGTGTATGAGCTCTTGGAAATATCCCCTCCCTGTTTGATATCTTTCTGTAGATAGTATTGGATGCTTTGTTCCTGGTTTCATATAAAGAAATAGAACGGCTGCGTCTTTGTCGTTGTGGCGAAATAATACCTGAAGAGACGATTGGGATGAAATGAAGACGATTGGAAATCGTAATGCATAATAGAAGTTTTCTCTTCAATTTACATATAATAATGAGCATAGTGGCCACTGTGATGAGCTGATTGTGAGGTAATTAAAGAAATTCGAACAATAGAGAACAAACCCCTAGGCTCTTGATCATGCAAGACATAAAAGGCTCTGTCTGTTTGGGCACTTTCGATAGCAGATGTAGACCCCTATGGTCTCATGGTAGGTAAATACCCCTAGTCTCACGAGTTGAATTTGCTTTCAGGACGTGTGTCTATCAAACCTAAAAGAGAGAAGGAAGTGCGACTGGCCCAGACCACTCGTTGGCGTTAAAAAACCTGGGCATTGGTGTGACATTGTTCATAGGTTGTCTATGTGCCCACCCCATATCTTAGAAAAAACTTTTACTGATTGAAGTTAGATGAGTCCGGCCACTCGCGTACAATCTCGCCCAGACAATGTTTAACAATGGCTCCAGATATATTCTCGACTGTTGGCGAGTCTTACGCAGATAGAACCTTAGTAGCAGCTGCTACCCAGAAAGCCTCATGAGATTGGCCCGCCATGGGTTCACCATAGGATCAAAGCTAACGCCTAAGTGTCTTCCAGCTTTTGAGTGCGGGGTGCATACTGATTGAAGCAGTCAGCCAGAATGCATCGATGATCAAGTATCGTTCCGAAGAGTGGGTGGTGGCCAACGTATTTTCATTTCTCTTTTAATTTCGTCGGACGCAAAGCTAAATTTCCCCCATTATGACGAATGCGAGCCTTGGCCTAGCTATTGAAATATATTACTGGATTAGGTGATCCCCACATTGGGGGTCGATCACAAATTGAACCTTGCGAACAGAATGCATAGAGCCGTCACCCATGAGATCATTTGGCCACGCGAAACCTGATTCAACACGAAGAAATTGAACGATCCACAGCCATTGGATGCGTCGAGATAGGCCCTTCAGCATCTAGGCTTTGAGTGAAGCTCAACTCATACGTAGTACCACGCAGTTCAGCTATAGAAATGTGCTTATCGTTCATGTTTGTACGTGGACCTGCGAACACACCTCTATTGGCTGTTTATTAACCAGATTGAACCAAATCCAATGATCTGGCAAATGACGGCCTATAGATTCCTTCTCTTTGTGAGCATATTGCACGGACTCTGGTTCTGTTGAAACTCGAGGACACTGTTGTCGTCACAGCAACACTACCGGTGAAGCTTTTGTATCCAGGACTTCTCCCATTATCTCAATTGATCTGCCTCAAGGCAGACTTAGACCGACAATCATGTTCGCGGCGGAGTCCAGGCGACAGAATTATTAGCGTGTTTGAATGAGATGCTGATCGGCCCTACGATTCGTCATCACTGCCCATCGCTCACTCACCGTATAGTGTAATCAGATAAACTAATTCAGTAATCTAGGTGCCTAGGACGTAGTCGTATGCTTCGCCCTCACATAATATGGGGTAATATTGAAAGCTGCGTATCTACAAGGGTAGAATCAGCATTGTTTATATAGCTGCCTATCGTTCCAGGGCTTCACTACTGTAGGTTCCCGCATATGGGGTCTATTTTTAGCGACGATCGCGTGGCGCAGTGCCCCGGACTGCCTCAGGCAGGAACGCGTGTCGTGCCGCACCATCTCCACTTCAACCCCCTCTTATACCAAGCTTCATGGCATCGATCCAAGGTGCTTGACAAGGCAACCAGGGCATCGAATTGACGAGAACAACCACTGAGATTACCGAAACCGTTACTGACATGAAAAATGCTCGACGAGAACTTGCCCAGTATGTCCACCGGTTAATCACAGAAGTAGCACGTACATCCTCTCAGGCTAAAGCCCAATACTAACAAACACTCAGCGTTCTTCCTCAAGAAAACCCAACAGAAGTTCCTCTGGACCATCTTACATTCCCACCGTGGTACCGAGCCTGAACCGGCATACACTCTTCGCCACCCCGACCCAGCTTCCCCCTCATCCAAGAACCGCTACGCCGCTGCTCTAGTTGATCCCTATATCCCAGATATCGTCTACGGCGAGGTTCTACTCATTCCCGAATGGACGCAACCAAGTCTTTCCGCAGAGGTCATCCGCCAGAATGGCGGAGTCACCCCACCGCCTGAGCCTATTCTTCCCACCCGCTTTACCATCCACCTCTACAACCCCGACCAGCAGGTCACCGTGGAATACAAGCCGAAGACATGGAATAGTCCAGCGACATGGTCATTCGAAATGCCACAACAATCCTTCCGACAACCGTCAAGTTCGACTCTGGACCGGACACAGACAGACCCAGCAGCGGCAGATACCACGCCCAAACTTCGCTTCAGCTGGCGGAAGGATAGTAAGCTGTCGAAGGACTTGACATGTCTGTTGTCTGGGAAAACTACTGCAGTGTCCGGGACCAAAACAAAGAGCAAGGAGCCGGATATCACAATTTCAATCTTCCAGGCGCTACGTGAGTTGACGCTCTACGAACCAAACTTGTATCGCGTGGAGATGGAAGATTTTAAAGGGTTGGAAGTTGTTCTCTTGCTTGGAGCAGTGACTATTCGCGATGTGTATTTCACTACGATGAGGGATGCTTTCAAAATCGATGCGACGTCGGTTTCCACCGGCCCTAGTGCTTCTACTGCTGCTACTGCTGCAAACATTCCCAATGGTCATAACACTGCTCCCACAGCTAGCAATGATAAACAGCCTGTCTCAGCTGGATCTGGGCCGCTCAATATCAATACGACCCCATCAATTCCAGAGGAGCCAGCTGTTCAGAATCCCCCACGACGCAAACAGGAACAAGATAAAGAAGAGGAACGGCGCACCAAGAAACTTCTTGAAGAGGAAGAGAAGGCCCGCCGCAAACGCCAAGCCGAGATCGACAAGGAAACCCGTCGTCTCCAGAAACTTTACGGCGAGGAAGAACAAAGAGTCCGCTTCTCTACTCCGTCGCTTCCACCGCGGCCATTACAATCACCCCCGCCGTCAGAGCGGCCGATTGCTGCCGGACGTGGGGCGCCGGCTCAACGGTACTACCATACTCACCACCATTCACCCTCCGTGCCGCATATCGGACATTCACCGTACCTCCAGGCCCCTGGGGGCAATTCACACAGGCAGTCGGTAGCATTCCTGCCGACACAGCCACAACCAGCGGCGGGGTCAAAGCCGCAAAAATTGCAGCAGAAGAAGAGTTTCTTCGGCTTCCGGAGGTCATCCTCTGACGAAAACAAACTAGCCAAAAAGCGCAGCTCGATGTTTTGAACATTTTTCCTTTATTGAGAAACGAAGTTATGATACCCATGGCGTTGGCGTTTGAAGAAAACATAAAAGAAAAGACGTGCTATGTACATAGACTCAAAGCAGTTCTAACCTGGAAATATAAAACCAAGGCAATCCAACTGAATCTATATACAGTCTTTCAAAACATATAGTCTTTCCCAATTCTAAGCCAACGGTCTCCCCTCGACACCCTCAGAAGTAATCTTCACTGGCAAGATATTCCCCTGTTCATCAAACTCCATGCGATCAATACAAGTCACCCGATGATCGCGCTCGGTATCATTAACCGGCCGCCGATGATAAACGATATAGTAATCCTTCCCATCCGGGGTAAACACACTATTATGGCCGGTACTCTGCCCAACGGTATCATCCCCCTGCAGAATCTTGGTCGGCGTACTAGAAAACGGACCCGTCGGCGAAGGCCCGGTAACATAGCTGACCCCGTAAGAATTATCACCCCATCTGTAATCAACAGTCAGCAAATCATACACTCCCAGCCCTAATTACCCTCCCTCCACCCCCATCTCCAAGGAACAAAAAAAAAAAATAAAAATAAAAATAAAAAAAAAGAGAGAGAAAGAAAAAACTTACCCCCCAACACTAAACATAAAATAATAAACCCCACCCCTCTTCAAAACCCAAGGACCCTCCACATATTCCTTAGGAGTAATCTCCAAGTAATCACCTTTCAGACTAACCATATCACTCCCCAACTCAACCACAACAGCATGACTCCACCCCCCAAAATACAACCAAACGCGTTGATCCTCATCAACAAACACCTGCGCATCGATCGGCTCCGCCCCGAACACTGTCTCCCCGACCAACGGCTTCCCAAGAACATCTTCATAGGGGCCCTGTGGCTCCCCGGAGACGGACTTCGCGACGCCAATGCCCGCCCCATCGCCGGCAGAGAAGTACATGAAGTAGTCGCCGGTAGACGGGGAGCGGGTGACGGAGGGGGCCCAGGCTGCGCGGTTGGTGGACCAGGGAATGGCGGTTAGGTTGAGGATGGTTGGGTGTTTGGTCCAGGTTAAGAGGTCCGGGGAGGAGAAGGCGTCGAAAAAGGTTTGGGTTTCGTAGGCTGCGCTGTAGGTTGGGTAGAGCCAGTAGGTGGTGTCGAAGATGCGGGCTTCGGGGTCGGCGTACCAGCCTTCTATTACTGGGTTGCCGGATTTGGGGGGGACTGAGGGGTTTAAGGGGGATTGGATGGTGAGCGTTGAGGTTGGGAGTTGGAGGAGGAGGAAGAGGGTCGGGAGGAGGGTTTGAATTGTTGGGAGGTGCATTTTCTTTTTTTTGCTCTGGGTCATTGGTTTTTTTTTGGGGGGGGGGGGAGGTGAGAGGAGGGCGACTCAGGGTAGAGGATTGGGGTTTGATAAAGGGGAGAGACAAGGCACATAAATACATTTACATGTAAGGGAGTTGTTTGTTAAAGTTTGATGTGTTACTGTTAAATTGACTTTGGGCTGCTGCAGAAATGCGGGGGAAATGTCGATTAGATTGATCAGATATTGCGCACATGATCTGATGTGCTTTGGTCAGTTGCGGGCAGGGTATCAGGTGGTTAGGGCATATGATAACTTGTTGTATATTGTCATCGTAGAGGAGGGTGGGTGGTGCTTGTTGACGCGTTTAATAATGGTTCTATGGTAAGCCCTAATTGGAATGGGTCGATTCCTCTGTAACTCGCAGTTTCCAGGTAGCACGCTTCGCGTTCAGAACAACATAAATGGGTCTCTTAAGGGACTAAAGCTTGCTAAAGCTTGTTCAAATATAAAAGGTATCTACTGATCTTTACCGTCATAGTGGTCTAGATAGTAATATGTAGAGTATTTAACCGGTTGATGGAGTATGCTGGCAGGGCAAGGCCAATAGAAAACAAGGTTTGAGATAACCTGTAACTTATGCCTGATCAAACACTGTACTATAATTGAACCTCGGTGATAATCATTTCCTTCGGTGATGTGGCTGCTGAGTATGCCCCATAGAAGAAGCTAGCTATAAACGACATTATCCGTGTCAAAAGGGCATTCCAACACGCATAGATAGGCTGGGTTTCAAGATTGAGATAATGCTCCTGTATACATGAATTTGAAAGACTCTCAACAGTTTAATTAAATTATAGTTATTATAAAAGTCCTACGTAGCGTTTTCAATACACCAATCCTTGCGTTTGGCCCACGGTGCAATTGGTATCGTAGAACATGTTCTATGTAAAAGCGCCCTTTAGCTGCCCCGAGCCCGACATAATTCACAGCAAATGCTATCAGTGCAGATTCCTGGACCAAGGCATTATACTCGACCGCGTGCGTGTGACTTCCCAGTAGATTCTCTGAACTGGTCAAGAACTAGTCTAGTCTAAAGCTCATACTTTCCATCTCACTTCCTAAGACTGATCCGACAAACTGGAGCGATTCCGGATTTGGGCACCGTAGATGTAGAGTAGCAACGGTATCGGGATAAGGAGCGCTGCGACACATCCGAGCAGTGTGCAAGCCCATTCTACCCCCAGAGCGTCAAACTATAAAACGCTAAGTTAAACAATCCATTGAAAGCGGACACTCTAGCCTGATTGGAAAGCGGCATGTCACTCACCATATAAGAAGCAAAAAGTGGAAAGATCGCACCAGCCAATGACCGCAGAAACGTGTGTGCAGCGACAGCTGAAGCGGCCCTACTTCGCAGTCAATAGATTTATCTTTGACCAATCTCGCAATGAAAGCTTACTTTTTCGGTCGTGCCTCTACTACATAAGCGATCGAGGGTAGGAACATCGTCAGCAGGCCAAATCCAGTCAGGATGCCGGATATTGTGGGAGCCACCTATGATATGCTTCGCCGATAGCCTGACCAGCCCAGCCAGAATAAGCCCCCCGAGAAGGCAACTGCTCCTGGAATCGCGATAGGGAGACGCCACTCTGGCATTATTATACCGCCATTCCGCTCCATTTGCCGAAGGACCCATGGCTGCATTGCGAATACACCCAAAGCGCCAAATAGCTGTCCAACGACGATTCCAATGTAGGGTAGTCCACCTACTCCGGGGTTCATGCCATGGATTTGTTGAAAGATAATAGGATAGGCAGTTAAGAAAAGATATAAAAGCCCATATACGAACGAGGCGAAAACGCTCATACATAGCACGATCGGATCGAGAGCTAACATTTTCAATGGAAGACTGACATAGTCGGCAATTATGGTTCGCAAGTCAAGACATATTTCCTCGTGCTTTGCATGAATTGACCAATCGCCCTGCTCGCGACGTAAACGATCCGCCTTCCAACCTAGGAGTACCGGTGCGTAGGTTTCCCTCATCGTAGTAAGGAGAAGAACGAAAATGACGCCGCCTAAAATCCCAGGTATATATGCCGTCCAGCGCCAACCGAGACTCTGGTTCATTACAGTAAACCCACCGATGAATGGGGCTGTAAGAGGGCCGATGAACACCATCAGACAGAACCCAACCATCGCGATACCCCGTTGATATGGTGGGAAAATATCAGCATAGACTGCCCCAGAAAGAGTCAAGGGACCCGCCCCAAAAAAGCCCGTGAAGTATCTCAGTATTATAAGGGACTGAAGATCTTTTGAAACGGCAGTCGCAAAACAGAAAATAGTAAATCCAAAAGTCGATGTAACCAACGGAAGCTTTCTCCCTTTCAGCTCCGAGAAAGGAGCCCAACATAAGGGACCCGTGGCGAACCCAAGGACGTAGAGGGAAACACCTAGAGTTGCTACCTCCCTGTCGATATTGTACATCATAATCACGGTGGGTATAGCTGAAGTGAAGATACTACTTGCCATTGCGACAACCATTGTAAGGAGTCCCAACAAGATCGAGATATATACCCTTCATTAAAGTCAATAGATAGGTCTAGGGTCTGCAAATGATGGTATGCATGACTTACCGTTTCCGGATTGACCAGTTAAAGGGTATTGAAGGATCATCAGGACCCTCAAAGTCGACATATCGTAAACTCATCTTTGCGATTTGACTAGGAGATTGAACAAGTGCATTAATGGCGAACGGTGGCGGGTGTTGTATCAGAATATCCAGTATATCCAGGAGGGATAGGTCAAGTAGGTCTTTAGGATCATTGGCCCAGGTACTTCTACTTAGCAATAGTAGAATACAATGTCTGGTTCACCCTCAGGGGAGAATATAAGGGGACAAGAATGAAATTTTCATCGCATATTATGCATTACATGAAAGGCAAATTTCTTTGGGCAAAGCCCCGGTTCTCTATAGGTTCCAGAACTGGAACTTTTCAGGCCCTAGACGGCATGTTCAGCTCATCAAGTAATTCATGCTCCACATAACGATAGTAGAATAGCAGCTGTATTGCTGAAGACCCACTATCAATCTACACTAGCGGATATAAAAGCATAATCATATAAATGCAACCGAGGCAGATTAGTGATACTATTACTTTACTGGGCTATCTTGATACAACATAGTCTAAAGTCACGTAGGATCCTGCACTGGTGTGTCCAAACTCACGTCTAAATGTTAGGTTACTATTGCTAATGGGTAGTTGAGGTTCTACCGGAAAGCAAAAGCGCTACACTGGACAGTCGGCATCCACAATCACGCCGCGGGATTCCCCCACAACGGCGAGCTTGGTAGAGCCACAGTAAGAATGTTTCCATTACTGAATTAGTAGTGTAGGGCCATTTATAGCCAGTCAAGGGAGGGATATATAAGGATTACGTACTTGGCAACTTATGAATACGTGTTGATACTAGCTCTAATGCATTCAGAATGAGCCCTCTGCTCCATCATTCAAAGACACCTTTCTGGAGAGGCCCTGGCGGATTTTCTACCATTAATGTCTGATATGAGTTTACAGTTAGATTAGTCCTATGCCGAATTTTGTCTTGCCCGGTCCTAATATGTGATGAGGCCGTTCATCTAATGAAATGCAATGCTCGATCAAGGAGATATGTAATTACCAAATCCACCAGCCATCGGGTCATATATTCATACCAAATAACAAAACCACTTGCTCACTCTATATGCTCTCCCCCTAACTCAGATCATTGCAATCACTATGGTTCCCCGCCTACGTTTTCAACGATGGCCGTGTTCATCAGTAGAAATGGAATGGTCCTAGCAGATCACCTGCTCAGTTGCTGGTACAGTGGCGCCCAGGCAGTTCAACAAGCGGACTAAATCCTTCTCATCGCTGAGAACTGTTGCCATTGATACCATTGGAAGTAGCGTCTGTCTGCAAGCCCTGTAGAGTGTCTTAGTGCGTCGATAAGGGTTGCCTTTAGACAAAAGTCGAGATCCCCCCTTGAGGTTAAAATCCGGGAAATATTTCCGGATGGGGTCTAACCAAGACAACCCTCATTTACCTCTTTGATCAGTAGTGCTGGCTCTTTGGGGCTATTAAGAAGTATTTCTTCATTATTCATATCCGTTTCGTTGTAGTAAAACAAAAGGAACTTGCAACATTGCCGACTCACCAAAGGGAAGTTCCACTTTTCTATCTAATTTGAAACTGGCCTCTTTGTAACGCACCCTATATATATACTATTCTTGACCTGCTGTAATCTCTTAGTATTTTCCACCACACATATCCACCAAGAATGAACCTGAACCAGGCTCTCTTCCCAGAATGACCTCCAAATGCGGTAAGTTTAACTTCTGCTATATCTAAGCTATGACTAGCTGATACTAATCACATCCAAGTCAATATCGCTGGTATCCCCAAGGAGCAGCTTCTTCTAGAACTTCTTAAGGACGCTAAATTGCTGTTCATTATCACTGGAAAGAACCACCTAGTCTCGATATCGATGAAATTCGGAAGGAATATGAGCAACCAGTAAAGCATATCCCTCTTGTCGATTACCTCCGTGGCCGCTGTTTGAAAGTCGACATTACTGGAAACACAGTGAACCCCAAGGCATTCGATTGTGAATATGGGGAGGGCAGGTTCGCCGAGATTGTCGACAAGCTTCGTGAGGAATATCCGCTTCCCCCTGTCCCGATAGAGAACCACGATAGTGTGGAAGGTCAAAAGACAAGTTAGTCCTTGCGGCCTTGGGCCCAGGCTTACTTGATCTGTAAATTAGTATAAGACCGGCTACAGATAAAGAGGAAAGGCTTTGGTGCTTTTAGTGTAGCCCTATTCTCTCAAAATATCTCGAATGTGGTTAGATCCCTACCCGGGCCATACCACTCGTTATATGCACATATTCTGTAACCGTCAATGCGTTTCTTTTGATTCAACATTGGTGTGTTCGTAGAGCAACCTTATCAAGTTACAGTGTTTAGATCCATTCGATCTAATATTACCACCAATTTCAGGAAAACGAACAGTAACCACAGGGAGAGAGAGCCAATTCCTTAGCGGAGAAACCAGGCTATTCTGCTCTCATAGTTAGGGAGACATTCATCCAGGGATACACGCATTGGTGCCTGCACCCAAGAGGGCACTAAGTTGGCCCTTGGGTACTCTATCCTTAACATTAAGCGCCTGATAAACTCTTAACCTTTTGGCAATACCAAGCCCCATTCATTCTAAACGTGGATTTACCCATGGATCAGAGCAAAATAACGCCTTAGAGCTATGTTTGGTATGGACCGCTTCTCATAAAATTTAGAGTCCTATCTCATCTTTCCATAGACGCTTCCACCCCAATCCACTGTAGAGAAGAGAACAGATCTTTAGACAATGCCAGCACTGGCATTTTATTGCACTATTGGATATAGTGACTGAATATTTACTACACAGAAATATAACATAGGGGTATTGTGTACTTATATGTTGGACAATGTACCATGTCAATCCCAAAATTAGTCCCGCATCATGCAGCGCCGAACCCCCGAGCGTTCTCCAAGGCTTTATTAAGCTTGTCTTCCAAGACATTTTTCGATGAATATTCTGGCAAAAGAAGCCGGCCAAAACAGGTTAAACTGGTGGGAAGGCGCTAGAAGCAATTAGCATGGCAGCCGACTAAAGTGCTTAGAAAAAATGGTACACCTACAGCATCACCCACTCCGTTTTTTTGGATAACAAACATAATGCTCGCAATCCCGTTAACTGGAACCCGGTCACTGGCAGTCACAAACTCCAACAGCTGCGCCTTTTTCTCCGCAGGGAACCGCCGTGCAATACTCCAGAAATCCCGAATTGTGCGATGGCTTGGACCGAAACCGCCTTCGTAACGTGCATGATGTTCCAGCTCATCTATATTAATCTCTTGGATTCCTTCTACCACTGTCTTCAGTGCCTCTGGCGTGAATATGGACAAGGCCGAGCGGTCCAAGCAGGTGTAGAAGCCCTGTGCAAAAGCCTCGAACTGAGGCCGAACCGACTTATCTGTCAGCCAAAAGATGTAATCCCTAACGAATTGAGAGCGATTTTGGTTTGAGACAAAAGACGCCTCCTCAGCTGGGGGCGTAGGCGACTGCATCACTACCGAACCATCCAGGGATTTAGCCATATCCGCAAACGATTCTGTTGCCTCTGCACCCATTGAGGACGGCGGGCTTAGGTTCACGCAGTCAGTGTAACGGCGAACCTCCGACCAAGGTGGGGAACCGAGGGACCGGTTTCCGCCCCCCGATCGCGACAACGCTGAAGGAAGAGGCCACGGAGCATCTTTGTCGATTTTTTGCATGTCCACGGTCTCAATGGTTCCAAAGGCTTCGAAGCTAAATTCATACGTGCGCATGAATATGTCTTCCACATCGCCATCCTCCCAAGTCAGAAGTTGTTCAAGACCCTTAGTAAGTTCTGGCCAACCGTCACGGATATGGTCGAGATGCTTCACCTTCAACCCTAGAAGTTTGCGATAGAAGGCAGTTGGGAAATTGATGGGCAGAGTGAGGCCATTGTAAACCGCAAGGGACATTAATAACCCGAGGAGCTCATATTTGTAAAGCGGTTCCAACGAACACGGTTGAAACCAGGAAACTCGAGTGCGGCTATCCGTCGCAAACATACCATACGACTGGTCCAAGGCTTCCGCCATGAGTACTCGGAAGAACTCCTGCTGGACACCGCCGTGATCAAGACCTTCTTCACCCTCATCCATGCCCATCTGGACTTTTAACGGCCGCATTAGCTCTCGCTTCTCACGCCGCCACAGCTGATTGAGAGCATCGGTGAGAAGATTGTCTCGTCGGACCACAAGAACCAAATACGTAGTCATCGAAGTCTTCAGCCGTGCGAGCATCCCAAAATCATCCTGGATTTGTATGGGTCCAAAAGCTGTCTGTGTTACGTGTCTGGTGGTAGTCATTGCAGCCTCGTAGAACCTTGACATGGCGGCATAGTTCAGAGCGCGGAAGTAAATGACCAGAGCTGAGGGAGGAAAGAGGAAGGGGTATGAAAGCAAGTGCAGAGTTTTGTTATTGGGCGATCGACCTATCCACTCAACAGGCATCTCTAGGGGCTCCAACCTCTCCGAAAGGAATGGAGTTTGAAAGTCTTCTGGGACAAGGCCCAGGCGATCCCGTTCCTTGTACATAAGGGACAATATCTGTACAGCGCCTCCGGTCGCGCTACCTTTGGACAGTTCAGGGCTCCCATCCCATTCTTTGAGCAATAAGGTACGAAGCCATTCCGCGATGACCGCAGCAGCACCCGGTGGCCTCATCTGATTTTGGTCGTCGACATCGGCAGTCGCTAGGCGATGATTGTCGCTAAGGTTGTTGATGAGAAAATCCAGGACACTGTTCTTTGATTTACGTGAAGTATGACTGTAAGGATGTCGAACTTTCGAAATTTCATAGAAGGCCATTCGCGCTGTAAGAGCGCGCACCAAGCGGTCAACTAATCGCAAGGCAAGATCATGTTCTAGTGCGTCGGTTACGTCCACAACCGCTCGTGTATTGCGCAACGGAAGCTTTTGCAAATCCGCGCTTGAAGCTACAGCCCCAGTAGCGCGCATCTGAAGAATTCCGCGCCAGGTGGATGCATCTATCTCCGGAAGAGAACTGGTCAATGCAAAAAGGGCGACTGTTGCGACGTCTGCTGCACATGAATCAGTAACATGTTCATTGCCTAGTGCATCGGATGCCCGGCGAATAATTATAGGCATAGATACAGGTGCTCCTGTCGTCGAATTGTATGATGAGCGGCGGGATTGTCTGGGGTTCGATAACTCCTTCGGCGGAACGAACAGCGATTCAAGCGCACTCCACAGACTATGAAAGACGAGTTCCCTAGGACAGATCGTAAATAGCTTGCGCAATGATGGTTGAAGCTGCTGGAGGTTCAGCTTTAAATAAGAACGACTCTGCTCTATGTCATTGGGCCGAGCCGTGTTGTCTCGAAAAGATTGCAGAATTTGCCTCGTGCTGCTCAATGCATAGAAAACGCTCTGCGAAACGAAAGCAAATGCATCACGTTGGCGAGACGTTGCAAATTTCCACTCCGAGTCGTCAAATGTACCCATGGACTCTATATAAGCCAGTTCGTCTTTCCATCGTTCAGCGTCATCGTAAGATAGAGCTACCATTTTTCCTAGTTCGTCGATGATCTCAGAAGTCAGATGAGTAAGAGATTGTATAGTAGGCATATCCTCGCTTTGATATATATCATAGTGTTTCGAGCTTGGGGCACTTGGAGATCGGGGCCCTGAGGCAAGTTGGTCATCGTCAGCGGCAAGGGGATTTTGGTCGTCAGGAACGTGGACCCCATTCAGGAGTTTCGCACCGTCCCAAGAAACACGTCTTTCCTTTTTCGGCTGCTCATGCAGGCAAGCACTGTCTCCAGTCCTGCCCCGATGTTTCTGTGGACGATGTCTCAAAGCGGGTGGGGAAGGTATATTGACCAGCCCATCTGCGTTCGCATGTGTATTGATCGACAGCTTCCTAGCGGGCTTTAGCTCCGAATAAACCTTCTCGTCGATACTCGACCGAGGACTTTGCCGTCGTTGATCGACATCAGCGAGCGATAGGCGTTTGATTTGCTGGTTCGGCAGTTTCAATTCAACAGCAGCTGTCGTGTTGGCGATATTTCGTGACGAAGGCGTAAGTGGATTGCCCCTAGTAGATGTATTGTGCCGAGATGTACGTTCCCTCTCTTGGCGGTGCTTCTCTGCCCCGGGATGAGATTTGGCATGTCCGGTGCTCGGCTTTGGAAGTCGTGAACTAGATCGGCAGTATGGATGGTCGGAATCTGCGCTAAATGTACTCGGGGAACGCCTCAGGGGCAACCATTCAATCATTCTCAAAGACAAAGTATCAAACAAATTTTGGGTGAATGACTTGGGGTCCTTTAATGGTTGGGTTGATTGGTCTTCGTTGGCCGGTATACATTCAGCCTCTGCTTGCAACGCAAATCCTGGGGAGGAAGTCCGTCCCGCATTATCCCAGAGATCGCCCTGCCTATCCGACGAAGTTTGAGTCGCTGAATATCCATCCGTAGCGCCTTGGTCCACTACCGATGACCCACTACATTGCTTCCTCGAATCGGTTGTAGGGGCGCGGCTTCGACGTTTGGATCGACGGTGGTAATCTTGTGATGATAAGTCCGATGGAACCCGAGGGGAGTTGCGACAAAGGCCACTCTCCGCGTTATCCACGCTGGCCAGGTAGCATGCCAGTGTCCGGGCACTCAACTCTGTATATCGACGGAACGGCTCCTCGGTCACCCTCCTTCGATAGCTCGCGCATGTTGGGGTGGAACAGCTTGGGTCCTGACATCCATAGAGAAGTTGGTTTTTGTACCTTGGGAGCCAGCTACGTCAGCCGTCCATCCATGTCAAACATTCCCCGCGGATACTAACCTTCGAACTAGAAGATTGAAATGTCGTCGTCGCTCATCCCTATACCAAAGCAAGACCTGTGCGGGATCCGACACATCAACGGTATTCTGTGTGATAACTTCCGGCGCGTTTGGCGGGACCTTCGAGCGATGAAACTGGGGTCTATCAGTGCCACAATGCGAAACCTCATACGAGCTCACGGAAGCTCCGCGGAGCCTAGTCATCTTCGCAACTGCGGAGCATGCCTGAACCCCCGGTCAGGAACGTCTATTGGGGAAATCGCGTCTTCGCCTCGATTTATCGTTTATCAAAATCCAGAGGATTCGATGATGGTAGCCTGCCCTTTCCACGCTGATATCATGCGGACTGACACACCAGCCTCAGGCGCCAAGCATGTCAAGTCGGCTGACTAACATTAAGTGGAATAAATATGGTCCGATTGATCATGCACTAGGCTTGATATAGATAGTGCCTTCCCGGGCAGGCTTAGCGGAGGGGCACGTGCAATTAACGTCATGTTCTCTAAAAGCGGCATGGGCAATGATTTTCAATGTGTGGTCCGGGTTATCGGCGACGTCGATTAGCCCGATCTTTTCTGTCGAGGGGCAATATTGCGCCGCTTCACTTTCTCGCTAGATACTTCCTACTGGGTTTTATTTCTAATCAGGTCCAAAACCTTTTCTGTGACGACTTCACTTAGTTTTGTTTTATTTATTGCTCTTGCAAAAAACGAATACCCCCGCGCAGTATATATTCACACAACTGATCGCCTTTTCAACAAATTTATTCCTGTGATACCCCTCTCTTTTACTGTTCCATATACGGAACTGTCAGAAAATATGGCTTCCATCGATCCAAATGTATCAACGACTACGTTGCCATATACCTGCAACACCTGTCTCGTTGCTTTTCGCGGCAGCGATGCTCAGCGGGATCATATGCGCAGAGACTGGCAGTAAGTTTATTGGAAAATATGCGACTCAGAATGCATTACTAATGTTCGGTCGACTCAAGTCTCTATAACATGAAGCGCCGCGTCGCGTCTCTGCCCCCAGTATCCCAGGAAGTTTTCAACGACAAGGTCCTTGCTGCCAAAGCCACAACTAGTGCCGCTGCCGCCAAAGCTTCCTTTGAGAAAACATGTGCCGCCTGCCAAAAAACATTCTTCAGCGAGAACTCGTACCAGAACCACGTGAAGAGTTCTAAGCACAAGGCTCGTGAGGCGCAGATGCTTAGGGAAAGCGCCGATGACGCATCGTCTGTTATGAGTTCTACCTTCTCTTTGGGCGAGCCAGTCAACAAACCTCGTGAGCGTTCGGAAGTGTCGAAAGTTACGGAGAGCCTCAAGAACGCTACTATCGAAGAGGATGGCGAAGATGAGGAAATGGAAGAGCAGGGCTTCTCGGCCTCTCGTTGTCTTTTCTGTAATGAGAAATCCTCAGACATTCAACAAAATGCCGAGCACATGTTCAAGACCCACGGCATGTTCATACCAGAAAAGGACTATCTTGTCGATTTGGAGGGACTTGTTCACTACCTTTACCGGAAGATCAATGAGAACAGTGAATGTTTGTACTGCCATGCCGTCCGAAACAACCCTGAGGGTGCTCGTACCCACATGCGCGACAAGGGTCACTGCATGATTGCATTCGAAAGTCAAGCTGAGCAAGTTGAAATCGGACAGTACTATGACTTCCGCAGCACTTACTCAGATGGCGAGGATGAGGATAACTCAATTATGGAGGATGGTGGCGTCAAGGTGGATGGCGAGGATGATGAGGGATGGGAAACTGAAACTTCCGCATCCTCTATGGATGATGAGGAGGATGAGATCGACGACACGAAGGGACAGGTCTATGCGACAGATTTTGAGCTGCATTTGCCCTCGGGCCGCACCGCAGGTCACCGATCGCTCGCCAAATACTACCGCCAGAACTTGCGTAACTACCCTACAGCGGAAGAGCGTGAGGCTCGTCAGCTGGCTATTGAAAATGGCGAGATTGAGGAGGAGGAGCCGAAGAACAGAGGTCGCAACCTCAACCGGGCCGTTATTAGCCGCGGCAATGGTGGTATGGGTATGATCGGTGCCACTGACAGCCAGAAGCAGTTTGCTGCTGAGCTTGAACGCAAAGACCGCACTCGTGCCCAGCGACAAGAGAAGCGGTATACAGCTCGGGTCAACCGGGCTGCTAATAACCAGAAGCATTTCAGGGTATGTTTGGTTCCTTTACTGACTTTGAAACAAGCTAACACCCCCCTTAGGATCCTCTCCTGCAGTAGATTCCTGCATCTGGTTTGTTCGCGTGCATGTTGGCATTGTTTGGCAAAATCATGGAGTTACGGTTGAATGACATGTAGATACTCATGGCAAGATAAAAAGTGATTATAAAGAAGATGAACGATATTACTTCTGATTCCTTCTATCTTTACTAAATTAGGCTGTACTGTATCTTAAGACGGATATCCCGAAGGTGCACCAGACAGTAAGATAAATCAAATCCTACATTTAATCCCCCAACCAAACCCTAAGTCATCACACCAGCATCTCACAGAACCGATAGCAAACTCGCAACCAAGCACCATCATAACAAACCAGTACCACAATTAATAATATATGAACATACTACCACCATCAAAAAGAAGGTTCCCCCTGAATTTGAAGAAGCCAAACCCCTCCCAGCAAACCCAAATACTACCTCATCAACCACATGCATCCATACCCAATCAAGATGGATCCATACTGCTCCCACTGCGACCGCACGTTTTCCTCCAAAGAAGCCCTAAAACTCCACGCCTCCATTAACATCAATCATGCCTACTGGTGCACACGGTGCTCGCGCGCCTTCCCCTCCCAAACAGCAAAAGCAGCACACATAGATCGTTCGACCGCCCACAACATATGCCAAAGATGCATCCACCAGGACTTCATAACAGAAAAAGACCTACAAGCTCATTTACAACACAACCACCACGAGTGCCAAACTTGTAAACAGGCGTTCGCGGACACAAAGGCCCTCGATGATCATGTGCGCAGTGCACATCTGTCTTGTGATGTTTGTGGTCAGGTCTTTGGGGATGGTAATAGTTTGGAGATGGTATGCTTTTCTATGCTTTGCTTGTCTCTATCTATGTCTATCTTTTCTTTGTGTTTTCCTTACCTTTGTTTTGGTGGGGGGTGGAATGCTATGTTCTATACTTTTCTGGTTCATGTTGACTTGGTGAGATTTGGTTGTGTCGTCGAGGATACATAGCTAATAATGACGACAGCATAAATATAGCCACCAGGAGCGGGCTTTGCAGTGTTTCGGGTGCTCTCTCGCGTTCGGAAGTTACTCTAGTATGATTGCTCACTTGGAATCTGGGTCTTGCGCTTGCGGCATTACTGGGGATATGGTCAAAGCCATCGCATTAGAATTCTCCACTATGCAGGGACACAAAATGCCCGATCAGGCATCTGAGAAGTATCTTTGTCCGGCTTGTGCCAAAAAGCCTGGTTCTCTTTCTGCCTTGTGCCAGCATGCGGAACGAGCTCCTGGCTGTCGGCATTTGATCAACGGGACAGGAGTCTTGGCTCAGCTGATGAAGTTCCTGAAAAAGTCTATGTGACTGTGTGTGGTGACAAATTGGGGTGACTTTTAAGTCGCTACATTTCCCTTGTACTTTGGCGATCGCAGGTGGAAAACGGTGTTTCATATTGATGGTTGTCATATTGAATACTGCAGTCAATCTTTTCAAGTTTACACACAGGAAATAAGGATAGATGAATTGCAACTGTGTCGACACAGACGGTTCTGTACGCCAGGGAAGATGGGCAAAATGATACACCACGAAGGAAATTAATATTTCTCCAGTAAGCATACAGTAACAGTAACAGGCAGTTCATATACACTGCGCAACGCTTCTTTTCAGAACAAAGGGGTCAATTTGAACATCTCTGCCCAGCAGAGGAGGCACGAAAGCTCTGTCATTGTGGCAGAAGTGGCGATTCCTCGTCCGCATGATTGTCTGCGTGCTTCGATGCTTGCCCACGCTTGCGCCGACGACGACGTTTTTTAGTCCCATCGCCTTGAGTGCCGTCGGACTTTTTACCATTCAAATCAATAACCTCCCCATCCTGTCGAACTGGAAACTTGCTCCTAGGTGATGTACGTCCCTCATGATCAGAAGAACTGGTACTGGTTGTGTGGAGAATCACTTTGCGAATTCCATTGACATCAACCACATGCTCCGTGATACTTCCACTACGAGCAGGACCTTGATGTTGGTAACTGGTTGGCTTGAACTTCTGCGAGTTCGAGCTTTCGGATCTCACACTGATTGCGGCACTACCGGATGAACGGGGTGGTTCGTCTTGTTCTTCGTGAACCGCTTCCGGGATTGAGACGTCCTTTCCGTTTGTTTGGGTTCCAGCATCGGCGGGCTTAGGCCCGGTCATGGTACCATAACCTACGCGAACAGCGTATGCGCCATCTCTTGCATCCAGCCCCGGCTGGACTAGTCCCTCGCCAATCCCACCGGGTAAGGCAGTTGAGTTGGGGCGTAAGGCCTGGGAGCCAGAGATACTATGGCCGGAGTCCATATCGGTTTGTGCAGACCGAGTAGGCGAGACGCTAGTCCGCTTGATCTTCACATTCTGGTATCGGGTTTGACGCGGTCGGCTAGCCAGATTAGAAGGCCCCAGATGCTTCAAGTGCTCGCGAATTTCGTCCGTGGTTCCTCGTTTGGTCACTAAGCCATCCGTCGAATCAGAATTTCTATCCGACTGTGGCATCCGAAGCTGGAAACGTGGCAGCGGCGGTTCTACTGAGCTTCGACGGCGAAGGTTCGCAGGGGGGTTAGAGACTTGGGGTTCGCCATCTACATCCACCAAAGTGCCTGTCTTCTGAGGGGGTAAAGAAGGGGGTTCTTCCACAATCTTGCCCTTAGGAACCCGGGATTTAATGGGTGCAGGCGTCATGCGTCTTATCGCCTTATGAACATCAATAAAGACATCCGATTCGTCAACGATTTCCCTGTCAACAGAGTCAGTCTAGAATCTCACATAAAAAGATTATGCCGAGAAGATCAGTAACGTACTCGCCAATGAGCTCCTCGATCACATCTTCCAGAGTAACGACACCCAAGGCACCGCGGTCTTCACCGGGATACTCGGACACCAGCACCATGTGGGACTTTCCTTCCTGGAAGAAGTTGACAATATCCAAGCAGCTTGTTTCAGGGCGAGTCTCGGGAAGAGTTGCTAGTGCAAAATCCCGTACTCGCCTGCAGTCTTCGGGGTCGTATGTGATCAACATCTTAACCAGAAGCATGCCCACAAAATTTGTATGGTTATCTGGTGCATGAATCGGGATGCGGGAATATCCTTGGGAGAGTATCAAATCCATCGTGTCTTCGTCCAGAACAGTGTCTGCGGACATGGTGAAAACATCCTCCATTGGAGTCATAATGCTACCGACTGCCTTATCTTTCAAATCGAGAACGGCACTAATGATTGTAACCTCATCGGAGTTGAGCTGTTCGCCCGCTTCACCCAAGGTTTTATGTAGCGTCACTAGTGTTTTTAATCCAGCCTTCTTGTAGATTGTTCCATGATCCTCCCCCAACAACCGATCAAGAAGTTTCGCTACGGGCCATGCGACCGGCGCCATAATGTACATGAGGGCCAGGACGCAAGGAGCCATCCAAGCACCGATAGGGAGACCGTAGCGAACGCATATCGACTGGGGGACGACTTCGCCGAAAATAACTACATATCATGGATGATCAGCTCGATAAGCCAAGACCAAGAGGGGTTTTCGTTGGTACCAATCAAGACTGTACTGCCAAGGACAGCGGGCCAACCACCTCCTAGCGACCGGTCTAGGACAATGGGCAGGGTTTCATTTGTGATGACATTACTGAGCAGAAGAGTCACCAATACCCAATGCTTCCCTCGCTTCAACAGTTTGAGCACACTTTCTGCATTCTTTCGTTCAGAGCCTTCGCCGGAGGTTTTGATGACTTGTAGATAGACCTCATCCTATAGATTGCACAACGCAGGTTAGTGGTTTGCGCTGGACTTTCTCCCTTTCAGTAATGTGAAGATAAGACTTACCTGGCCCATCAACGCAATGGTCAAACCAGCGAATGCACCGCCGCTCAAAACGAGGATGGCGGCAACTCCGAGATACAGCCATAAGTCCGGGTCGCTAGGAGGCTTCGGACTCTCTTCGGAGTAAGCAATATAGGTTGCGGGAGCGGCAGCGGCGAGAGGAAGGCCGCCCAAAGCAAGCATCAACAATTTTGCAAAACCGAATATCACCGGCCGGATGGCCAGAAGACGAATGGCAGAAGTTGTAGCCATCACCTGTGGGTGAAGTATGAGGGGCAAAAAAGAAGAGAAAGAAAAGAAACGAGGGAGGACTACTGGAGGGACATATTTCGACGGCGCAGTTCGGGTAATTGGACCAAGTTAGTTGACGAGACTAGGCCGACTCTCGATCGGGACGGCTCCGATCACCGATTGGAGACTGACGTCGAGTGGAGAACCCTGAGTGGGTAAAAGTTAGGTAGCTACGTATCGACTGGAGGGCTAGTTGATGGAAAATCGGTAGAGTAATTGAATGAATATGATGATGATACTTCAGAGTGAAGAGGAACGAGATGGATGATCACTACCCACTCAAAATCGAGACTTGTTCTTCAGCCACAATGTTTTCCAAGTTGCTGATCGAGGAAACTGCGAAGGGATAGGCATTTTTCTGAGTAACAAAAGCACGCTACTCCTTTTTGGGACGACAACAGGTGGACCGAAAAAGGCAATTGCCTACAGTCACGAACCAGACCGTTGATTGGTCTGTGTGGCAACGGCATGAGTCAGCGTCATTGGATCACCTCTTTCACTCGCGCTGTTAAGCATTGAAAAAGTATTAAACTACGGAACCTACGTTGTCGACCGGCTCCACGAGGTACTTCTTTCGGTAAGGACTGGTCGAATCTCTGTGGGACCGGCAGCATAGGCTAAAGGTGTCGTATAACGGTATAACTTGGAACACTATTCCGGGTCGTTTAATCCAATGATCGATCAATCTTCTCTGGTTTGTGTTCTTGCTGCAAGCTCTCTCATACAGCCGAGTTTCGCTATCAACACGTGACTTCAGTGATCGGGTCAATTACTTGACTCATTACACTGGCACAATCGTGGTGTTGCGTTGGGTGATATTTTTCAACTACGCTACAACTACTAAATATTACTACCTGTATGTCTTGGGTAGGACGCAGCAGCGCAAGACTCTGGCTCCACAATCCTAGCAAACTATAGCTGATGCTATGGCGAATAATTTACTATCAGTAGACGAAGGTGATCTTGTCTATTAGGGCTTCTCTAGTCATGCATTAGCAGATCGCTGATAACTTCACCAGCTAGGCTGCTAGGTTATGCAGTGGATCACAATTCTCTTATCATCGATCCGTCCTCGCTTTATAGTCTTGATGATACTGACCCACAGACCACTGGACACCTCACCACCTTAAGCCCTGAACCTCATACATTTGACGAACTAGCAAGCAATTGTGTATTAAATCCTAACAACTTCGAGAGACCTCTTCAATATAGCAACACCTTACAAGAAGGGCAAGCGACTTCTTGGTCTACAGCAAGCCTTCAAGGCGTGCCGTGGCTTCAAAATAATGAGTGGTGTGCAGGCGATACTTCAAATGACCCACCATCTCACTGGCTAAATGAGACACTTTTTGCCTCGCAGGAGCCTTCATTACGGCCAGATGAAATAAACGATGGACACCTTGACAACAGAAACAGCTGGCTTCAGCAATCGCGACTGCAGTCGACTTATCCACTTGGCTCAAATGACAATCGTGGCCTTCCAAGGAGGAGAAGCCGGTATTTTCTTCAGAGAACAGGGGAAAGGGCCACGCCCCAGTTCATTTCAAACCCTTTATATGCGCCTGATCCTATGCAACGATGGCAAGAATCGCCTCCTGAAGATGAGCCAGCATCCATGTCTGCAATTATGAACACATTGAAGAACCTCCCGTCCCCAGGTACAGAACAAGATCGTTTCGCGTTTGGAAGTCCGGCTCCTGTCAGAGAAAATGATACATTCAGAGGTTTTCGTCAACCAGTATCAACAGTCAGCTCACATAGTAGCGCCCCGAGTGTCTCTTCACATCCATCTACCGCATCGGTCAAATCTGGTACGTCGAGAAGATCACACGACTCAACGACAAAATCGAACAGGCGGTCTACTGGACGGGTTCTTAAAGGTAAAAGCGCTAAGTCAAGTCGCAAATTCTGTTGCACCTTTTGTTGCGACCAGTTCAGAACAAAATATGACTGGGCTCGACATGAGAAGACACTTCATCTAAATCTCGAGAGTTGGACATGCACCCCCCATGGTGCATCTGTGGCCTCGCCAATCACAGGACGGCAACACTGCGCATACTGTAATATGCTAGACCCAGGGACAGAACATCTTGACGAGCACAATTACCAGGCATGCTTGAGTGGTACCCGTACCTTTCGCCGCAAAGATCACCTAGTGCAACATCTGCGCCTCACACACAATCTTGATGTTATACCTCTAATTGATGACTGGAAAACACCAGCTCCGACAGTAACATCACGTTGTGGATTCTGTGACAGGAGGCTGTCGTCCTGGGATGAGCGCGTTGATCATATAGCTAGTCATTTCCGCAATGGATCAACCATGGATTGCTGGAAAGGTGAACATGACTTTCCACCAGAGATCACTAAGCATGTGACCAATAGCCTGCCTCCTTATTATATCGGCCACGATTCTCGCTGTCTCGTTCCTTTTTCGGTCACCAATGCCCATGCGAAAGATCAACTAGACCAAATCACATCGCGACTGAATTGGAATACTGCAATCGAAAGTAATACTCCAAATGCTCCTGCACAGACGTTGTCCTCAGCTCGAACTTCTAATAATCCCCTGAACTCATTATTGGAAGTACTGGCATCGCACTTAGGTCGCTACACACGACAGAAATTAGCGCAAGGGGTTATCCCCACAGATGAGATGCTCCAGCAAGAGTCAAGGAAACTAGTCTACGATTCTGAAGATCCATGGGACCAGACCATCTTCGACAATCCAGAGTGGCTTGCTGCGTTTCGCCGTGAACATATTGAGCGGCCAAATAATCCGGACAACAATGAGCAAGCTTTATCCCCATTCGATAGTCTCTCAATCACGCAACCTCTACACAGGGGTCACGTTTAAGCACTGGGCTATGTGTACAAAAGGCCCCAAGATTTTAAATCATATGTCACATAAATATATGTGTCCATAAAGTTTGGAACACTTCTTCCCATCCGGTCAGCCGTACTTAAGCCAGCCGTGTAAACTCAGCCAAAAGATGAAAGCGCCCTCTGGAGCTCGCTGCTCTATGTGTGAGCAAGCAGGACAATCAGTGGATGATCAAGGATGTGAGCCATTTGGCTTAGTCCTTCTTAGAAGACAAATGCAAGGGTACGTGTAGATTGTCCTTGGCCATTTCTTCTCGGACTCAAACCCCTTCATCATTTCGAATTGACCTCCCTATCTACTTCTGATATCGTATCCCGTAGTAGGACATCGACTCCAAAGATGAGCTAACCAAGGGAAATTGAGGAGCTACACAGATCGGGCGAATTATGATGTTTTGACGCAAGTAACTTCCTGTAGTTAAGTTGTTGAAAGATGGAAAGTATGAGTTATGTCATTGGACCGAACCTTCTCCAACTACCTACTATTAGTTATAGTAACCTATACTACATGTTACGCCAATGAACCGGAAGATCGTTTCGTTACAGAACGGGAACCCTTGAGCCTGTTCATAATAGCTAGTACCAACAATGCTCCACACCGCCTGGTAAACTTGATAATATTTTACATTGTCCGGAAGCTCGATTTAACTAAATCGAGCTAACGGACAAACATAGAGATCCACTGGTACTAGGTAGGACGCGACGCGATTCTCCGCGCGCAAAGTGACAGTGGACAGGAATATTTTGGCTTGCATTTTACCCCCATATACCCATACACATACATCCAAAGAAGGAAAATGGCCCCATCGAATTATGACGATGACCACATTGGCATTAAAAACGCTCTCAATTCTGTTCTAGATAACATTCGGTCCACAGGATCATTTATGACGAATGCCAATATTCATACTGCCGTCAACCCTGGCCTCTTCATTCCAGGTGTGGGAAAGATTGGGCTTCCTATATCAACTGAGCATGCAAAAGCAATAATCCAGTCCTGTCATCCGAGCCCCTACGGAATGGGTACTGAGTCCCTGGTAGATGAATCAGTACGGAAAGGTTGGCAACTCGACGTAGGTCAGTTTGCTCTCCAGAACCCCAGATGGCAACAACAGGTTGGAACGTTCGTGGACAAAGCTGTAACTGGTCTTGGCCTTACGGCAAATGGGCAGGAGGTCAAGGCGGAGCTATACAAGTTACTTATCTACCAGGAGGGCGCATTCTTTCTGCCCCACCGAGATTCTGAAAAGGCCGATGGCATGTTCGGCACGCTCGCTGTATGTCTCCCATCGAGACACGAAGGAGGGGATGTGATCGTCTCTCATGGGGGGGACCAGCTCAAGTTTCAAACAGCGCCAACCTCCGAATTTGGGGTTTCTTGGGCTGCTTGGTATGCAGATGTCACTCACGAGGTGAAGCCTGTTACATCCGGATATAGGGTTGTCCTGATTTACAACTTGATACATCGCCCATCAGCAGCCCTGCTGGAATCTCGTGGCAGTAGTACAGAGAATATTACTCGTCTGCTTGAATCTTGGGCCTGTGCCGCTGAAGCAGACGCCATACAATACTCAGATGGCTGGAATAATCGCATTGATGACACTTGCCCACCAGCGCTCATCTATGTACTTGGACACCAGTAGACCAATGCGGCGCTTGGCTTTTCTCGACTGAAGGGGGCTGACCAACGTCGTTTTGCAGAACTTCGGGGTGCATGCCAGAGGGCCGGTTTCGATATCTTCCTAGCCAACATCGAGAAAAAGGACATGGGTGCAGTTGAAGATTATGATGGTTCTTACTACGGTGACTCTTATGGCCGGGGAGGTAATGGCACACACCGTATTGACTATCTGATTGAATCTAGCCTTAAATTGTCGCATGTGGTAGACTCAGAAGACATTACTGTCGGAAAGAATCTACCGTTCCCCAAGGAAATGCTAACCCAAACTGGTGTTTTTGACCGCGATCCAGATAAGGAAAACCTTCAAGGCTTCACGGGCAATGAGGGGGCTTCGGCAACCCACTTTTACCATGAATCGGTAAGATACCATGCTAGTCATAATAACCATACGCACTCTGCTATTTCCCTGTGCATTCTCGCTTCTAATGACAGATTCCCAGGGCGCACTAATCATGCCAAAAAAGTTTCGCTTCCTGTTCACGATCCAGCAGTTGAAACATGGTCAGGTCGATGCTAAAAAGCTCCTGGATGATTGCCACCGTGCCGTTATAGAACAACCAAATGACATGCTGGCCAAGCAAAGGCTCGTACAGGTCTCCAGGGCGATTACTCCAGTGAATAGCTACTATAGACGTCATGCCAAGCCGCAAGAAGGGCAAGACAAGATTCTGCAGATTGCTCTTGAACTTTCGGATGTGGATTTATTCTGTCGGGCTATGGAGTGGCTTGAGAGTCAGTCGTTTCCCTCTCGAACCGCCCAATTTGCCCAAATTGCGAAGATTATCTCACAAATTGGCATCGACGCTATTCGCTCCTCGTAAGTCGAAGACATCCCATTGTTAGAGTTCAAACACTGACCTACACCTCCAGTCTGGACAAAATGAAGGGAAGGTCTAATGACAAGCAATCGCTTTCTCGACATATAAAAATGTTTTCCAACTTGGTTAATGAGCGTTATGGTATGAAATTTGATAAATTACTCCCCCCTCATGTTAGAGGCTCAGAATCAGATGGGCATGATTTGGCAAAAGCGATAAGCGATTACCCCGTGAAGGAGGCGCTCTCAAGGTAAAGACGTTTTTATTTAGAACAAGGATAACAGAGCTGACTGCATCAGCATCGTGCCCTTATTGGAAACCAAGCTGGATTACACGGCTTATCTTGTCGCATTCATTACATCGGCTCATGACTACTCACTTGCTGGGAAATTTGACATGGACGAGGCAGATAGAATGCTTACCGCGCTTTTCTCAAAGATTGTGGCATCTTTCAAGATTGAAAGCGCGACAAGCTCACGTCCTAAGCAAAGTCCTTACGGAGGGGTCTTCAACTGCGATCAGCCGAGCAATACTTTGCGCATTTCCCCCAGCTTGGTAGTTGAGTTGGTTCAGTTTTCTGATGCTACAGGCAACGATGGCATGGGAATAATCCACACCCTTACTGAATATGCCTTAGATGTCAAGGAAGAGACAGAGGAGAGCGCTTTTCATGACTTCCTATTTCCAGTAGCGAACGGCATTTGCGCACACATTGACGCGACAGGGCGTTCCTCTACAGGAAGTGAACGGCGATTTATCAAACATATGTTGACCAAATATGTGCGTGACTACGTCAAAGAGGCCCCTCCGTCACCACCACCTGATTGGAAAAAGAAGACGACCATCCGATGTATCTGCTCCAACTGTGCCTCTCTACGCATGTTCATCGATGACCCGTTCAGCACAACGCAGGATTTCGCTCTTGGGGAACAGCGCAGGAACCATTTAGATCAGCAACTTGATAAGACCTTTTTCACTACAACTACTATTAGAGCTAACCCGCAAAAACTGCGAGTTGAAAAAACACAAGCTCTGCTTGTTTCCGACTTTAAAGCTTGGGTCGCACGAGTACAGATCGCGAACTCTGAATTGGAGCAATTGTCTCAAAAGGACTGTCTAGAGGAGATGCTTGGAAATCAATATCACTCAATCCTTTCCCATCATAATCTCGTACTTCCCGATGATCTACCTACAATGCCCGCACCCCGAGGTCTCAGGAACACGGTCCATCACACCGTGCCGGCCAAGCGTCCTTTCCGACATTGAGAAATCCTTTGTATTCACCAACCCTTGTATGTCAATTTCAAATTTATATATAGTTGGGTAAAAAAAGGTGTGGTTACTTTCGCCTCGAGATTGCTAGTTTTTCCCCCCAATTTCAAGCATGTCATATTATGCAGTCTAGTAGTTCTACCACCAGGTAACAAGGGAACGCATGGAAGTGCTATTGGTGATGCCAGCAGCAAGTATGGAGAATGAGTATGGTTGAATGAGTGCACAAAATAGATATGGTCAAAAGAGAACTAAAGTTGTGTCATTACAACAGAGCTATAAGTAGTTCAAAAGCCACCGAAGATCACCTTCCTTGGAAGACAGGGCATGAAAGACGATACCGCTTGTATAACCAAGCAGACGAAATAACCCATGTACCAACTATCCAACAGAATCCCATTGATGAGAAAACTCTCATAACGTTAAAGATTTAGGTGCCGGACTCCAGTAGTAATAATAATGTTTTGGGTAGGGTAGAATATAAATAAGTTCACAGACCTTAGTATACCGACAAATTTAGGTGATAATCGTGATAGAATAGCCCTAGATCCGATACTTTACAATTCGAGGCAAGCATATCAATACATTACTTGACTTGAGTTATATAGAGATCTATATATATCTAGTTTGGGGGAGTATAAAAACGATATCATCACCATTATTACCCTCTAGGAGCATCAAACCGTTGGCGCAGGATACGGACATTAGTTATATCCTGGTAACATTGGTAGCCCTGGCGCTTGCGCGGCTGACTCTCCTGGTAATGATGAAATTGCAAGATCGAAAGAATCATGTTTTGGATTTTCTGGTCTCCGTGACGATGTGATATGTAGCGGTACTTTGAGGCTAATCGCCGTCGGCATAGACGCATAGGTAGTGTTGTAAAAAAGCTCAATCTCGAGCGCATATGTTCGGGAGATAAAGCACGAGTGGAATGTTGGTATAAACATTTTGTTTCGCGGGAGTGTGATGGGGACAGTCAGACAGGCTGTATAATAAACGGCGGAATCTCTTATCATAGGCTTCCGGGGACACAATACGGGAGTAGGGTCATTGATATTTCTGCTGCTATCCAATTCCTGTTTTTCCCATTCCACGGACGCGATGCAGAGCGATGATACTGGTATAGTCCTTTCGAAGAGGCCGGCGTCGATGTGAGGACATGACATGGTGGAATAAGAGGGGATATTAGTCCACGGATAGGAGGCATAAAAAGTTGACGCTTTGAGCTTGGTCCGCAAGCACTTCAGCAGCGGTGGCGGCTCATCTCCAACTGGATCGAATCGAATATGCACCGTTGCCGCTGAACTCACAAGCTCAGATACCCTGCAGCCTGGTGTAACAAGTATAGGTCCGGGCTGCGATGCAACCATTTGAAGCCGCCCCATCCTATCCCTCAGCATGCCACGTCGTAGTTCTACCTCTTTCCGCCAACAATAGTCTCTCTTGTCAACACAGACAACCAAGGGCAGCTCCTCGTCGTAGACAGGCACTAAATGCACTTTCCTTATCCGGGCTGCCAATGGCTCCACTACCGAGTGTCTCTGGATCGCGACTTTGACGAAGTATTCAATTCGACACATCCTCGGATTCAGATTATCGATGGTGGATTTGCTACTGCTGGCGGCTTTAGTATCCTCCAGCGTTGGAGGTAGCCGGGTATGCCTTTGATGGACGTAACCATGATCCACCGGATGCTCGCAACTTTGGAGGGGTAAGCGATCTGGGATAGTAAAGGTGAAGGGAATGGTGACCGGTTGGCCTTTTCTGAACACGCGTTCGTTCGGCTGTAGGCTCGTGTCAGGTTGATGCTGCAACCTAAGGAAAGTGTTCCAGGCGGCCAGATAGCGGCCTCGAGGAACGGAGGCTGGTCTCTCAATATATACACGGGTGGTTCCTGGTTTCATTAATTAGCCACGCCTTTGATTGACAAACATGGTGGGCTAATAGCACCTTCGAATGTGATTTTGATATGATCGAATGGTGTATCCCGGTCTGCAATAATCGTTGCAGTTCCTTCTATCTTATCTGAGGTTGTATACGAACTGACGGAGCCTTCCTTCTTGCCGCTGAGGTCGATAGATATTCTAGGTCGGCGCTTGAACCATGATTCAGAGATGACACTGCACTTCATGTCCGGAGTTCGAATTCAGGATAATAGGGAGAAAAAATCGACACAGACGTAATTTGAATGTACAGTGCAACGGGTGTAGGACAAGGGGAGAATCGAATTGACTAGTAGTAGGAGATTAGCAATGAGTTCCACAATTGCGAGAGACAGCCGTTGTGTTAGTAGATAAATAACTCGATACTTTGCTAAAATCTCAACGTCAAGTGGGAAACCATGAACATGATATATATAACGCGAAGCGCATGATGATATTAAATATCATAAATTGTAACTGTAATATGAAGTTTCACTCCGCTCCCAGACTACAAAAAGGCCCCATATCTAGACTAGTAACAAGCAAAGATATTACGCGATTCTAAAGCCTCCAGTGCAACTAGTATATTGTTGACCACCTTAATGCAATTAGTAGTTCATGAACGACCCACTTAGCGGCAAGGCGTCGGCGCAGGGCGCGGTCACTCTATTTCATCCAATCTGATTCGCGGGAGCTTTTCTCCCAGAAAAACTATAGACCCATCAGTACGTGTGAGTAATAGTAAGTAGTATGACTCTTTTCCAAGTAGATATTGTACTATATAACAAATAAATATAACTCCGAGTACATCATCTACAAGATAACTCAACTCAAAGTCAATACCTACAATGACATCAACCAACCCACTACAATGTCCAGCCCTAACCGGACTAAACGCCTTCACCCGCCCTCTAACCGCCGAAGACCTCAAGTCCTGCGTAACCGTTGAAAGCTCCTTCGTCGAGCGAGAAAGATGCTCAGAAGAAAAGGTACTAATTCCTTAGACCCCAAACAAATTAGAACTCCATACTTAATCACCTGCAGTTTTCATACCGCCTCAACCGAACCCCGGAACTCTGCCTCGGCCTCTTCATCAAAACGAATGACACCGAACAACTTATCGCCAACGTCATCGGGATTCGATCCCTTTCGACAACAATAACAGAAGGCTCTATGAAGATGCCTAGTGACTGGCGATCTCGCTCCCCACACGACCCTGTGATAATAGGTGAAGAGGTCATTGGTGATGACCCGCGCGGTACTAATATCGCGGTCCATTCTGTTGCAGTTCTGCCTGCGTACCAGGGAACAGGGGTGGGGAAGTATCTTGTTAAGGCGTATGTGAAGTATATTAGGAACACGAGCATAGAGGCAGATCAAATTATGTTGATATGTCATGATTATCTGATCCAGTTTTATGAGAGTGCGGGGTTTGTGAATCGGGGGCCAAGTCCGTGTCGGTTTGCGGGTGGGGGATGGTTTGATATGGTGAGTTTAATGATTATTAAGTCTTGGGGGTTTGTTGGTGATTGATATGCTGATTAGTGCATAGGTACTAAAGGTCTGAGGAGTCGATGGCTGATGTTACTCCTTTGTACAATCTTTCTCTATATATTATTGGTGGATAGTTCGGGGTATGTACTCTTGCTAAGAGTTATTCTTACATCGTTTTGTCTACATAGTTAAATGAACAAGCTCGATGTAGAAGGGTAAGATACATGGATTTGGATGTATCATGTACTATATATCTTAATTCTTGTTACGGCATCGAGAAGCAGTATACGTATGTGACAACAATCATCCCAAAAAATGATACTAACCCTACACTATGCAGTTCTTTGGTGTTGTTACTTGTACTTACACTAGAGTGTAACATCCATATCGGCCCTGGTTTCTCATTCTCTTTTTACTCTAGTCATGAAGTTAAGGATATTTAAGGCCCATCAACTATGTTCACTGAGAGTCGAAGCTCGGACGGCACACCAAGACGCCACAATATACAAACTACAGCAGGTCTCCAGTAGTTGATACTGGAAGAGACTTCTACGTGCACAATTTAGTACGGAAACTCCCCCAACGGAATCAGGAAACCGGCGTTCACACTGCAATTCTCTGCATCTAACAACGGTCATTGTCTCTGGTCGTTGCTCCAATTGAGGTTGACTCCTATATTGCCATGTAGTCAGAGGTTCTCTTGACCTTCGAATTCTGCATATCTCTGGGCGTTGTTAAGCCCGACGAACATTATTTGTAGCTTGACAAATTCTCGGCCCAGTCCCGTGAAGCAGATCTGTCTCTATCATTTTACTGCCCGCGGGCATCCCGCTGACTGAACCCCCTTTTTGCCTATCTAATCAATCTGGAGACTAGTGACATCCATTGTCTAGTTCTAGGAGGCTGTATGCCTTGATTCCACACATAGACATCAATTCATTGGTAGGTTGATGTGAAGCCGTTGCCTAGCAGACGCGTTGTGTCTTTCCTTTCTTTCTGCAACCCCTATCCTTTGTTTCCTCCCTGGATCTCGGCACTTCTGACGGCAGTCGTTGGATCCATCCGCGCAGTGGTAGTCGGCATAAGCTGGCTTCTCATGCAGCTTGCCGCCGTTCGGTCTCTAGCTAATGTTTTCACTACCTTGCGCAATCTTGAGGATGGGGTCAAGAGCCGGATTATCGAGAGTCGCCTCAGCCGTCTGCTTTCCGCCGCGGTGAACTGGTACTTCCCGTTCAATCGCCCTCTGGCGACAGTGTGTCGATTGTCCCTGTCGTTCACTTGCGGGACAACGGCCCTTTACGGCCTGTTTCTCCCTGCAGTCTGGCACGTCTCCGGTCTCGTCATGGCCGTGAGCTCGCCAGAAGAGGAGCTTTCGTAGCACTGTCTCGACGTCTTCGGACGGCTCGAACAAGGGAGGCTGAATAGGCGCGAGTGGCTCGAAGAAGCAGTCTTCTGCTTCGGCCAAGAGACTGGCTTAGAGTTGCGTGCGATAATACGAGACGACTGGCGACTGCCACACCTGATTGAAGGCGAGATCCACCACCTCTACTTCCTTGCTTTCGTCATTACTACTGTCTTGTGTGTCATCCTGGCGGCACTTTCCTGGTACGCACTCGTCAGGGCCGCCCCTTCCCGACGTGCCGACAAGCTGCAGCCTGCAGCCCTGAGAGTGGACCCCGCCAGCCATGAGACACAACTCCGAGGGACGCCCCCGACGCCGTGCGAGATTCATCTGTGGAACATGATCGACCAGTGTGAAGGCGTGATCGCCAAGCAGGAGGGGCTCCTCATTGCCAAGGCCGAGGAGCTTAGGGTAGTTACGCAGCGAATGGAGGATGGCTCGGCGCTTGTCAAGAAGCTGTCTGCCCGGCCGGTCCCCGTCGAGGAGACTCGACCCCGCGAGACGACTGTCGTGGTGGAACTCCACCAGGAGCTCGCAGTCAAGGAAGGACAGCTCAGCATCGCCCAGGGAAAACTGGGGCAGGCGAAGGACGATGCCATTGTGAAGGAGCGGTTTCTCTACAAACGGGTCGCTCAGCTGGAACAGCAGTTGGCCCGGGAGAAGGAACAGGCGCAGGCCGATTCGCTGAGCGAGTACTAGTCACTCAGAGCCGACCTTCAAGCTCGGAAGGATCAGCTCGTAACTCTCCAGCACTGCCTGGCCGCCGCCGAGGCTCGAGAACAACCGTCTCACTGCCACGCCGACACCAAACGCCAGAGCCTCATTGTCTACAATAACGAGCTCGTCGCCCAGAACCAGGAGCTCATGGCCCAGTTCCAGGCCTACCAGGCTGAGCACGACCGGCTACAACTGCAGTTCTGTGACTCCTCGGTGACTATACAGGAGAGCGATGCCGCCCTCGGGCGTTTTATCTTCCTGGAGGCCGAGCTCGCGACGACTCAGTCGTCGATGGAGAGCGTAGTGCGGCAGGCGCAGGACTCCCTAGCTCGCGCTCACGAAGCTGACATGGCTCTTCAGCAGTCTATGTCAAACCTCCAGCACACCTGCGACTTGACTCTCGCGCAAGGACGTGCAACCGCCGACCAGGCCCAGAAACGGGCTTCCGACCTGACTGCAGAGGTCAAAGATCTGCAAGGCAAGATCGGCATGGCGATGAGGGACGCCCAGAGGAGCCAAGAGCAGGCGGCTGCTGCCGAGAGGACGATCCAGATTCTCGAGCACCGTCTGTCCCGTTGGGAAGCTTCGCACAGTTCGCAGGAAATACCCAAGCGTCCCTCCCGGGATGTGGGGTCGATCTCTACCGCGCTCGCGCAGAGCCAGATGACGGTCTCCCAGCAGCAGACCGAAATCAACGACCTCCGCCGCCAGCTCGGCGATGCCAAAAGCTCCGCATCACGCTGTCCAATGCGGTGGCGTCGACGCCTGTGCGCCGTCAGGGTAACAGGCGTCCGCCCACTATCCCCTGATCTCTTCCAGGGGCCTGTGAGCATCCCTCCCGGGGGATGATGCGCGGAGTTTATGGATCATGGGGGCATTACTCATCCTGTACGCCTGATAGTTTCGGTGATCGTTCGCAGTGGGTGGGGGATTTGATCGTTATAGCTCTCCTTGCGACCCGTGGGGACAAGTACGCGCTGGGGTTCCCGATTTTTGGGAACACACAGTGTGCGCTTGGATATAATGATCGATTCCTCGGGGACATAACATTCCGTGTGCTGTGATGGCAGGTCCATTTCTGAGGGATAAGCACACGCCGCATTGATATACTTACATCGTTCTCTTTTACCTCGGCGTTTTTTTGTCAATGGAACTTGGCCCGTGCGTGTGTCGGGCATTTTATGGGGTCTCCTTCTGTGGGACAGACACGCTTTGCACCCACTTTCCTTCCGCAATGACCCCCTCGCTAGTCCATCGGAAATGATGCCAAGTCAAGAGTGGAGACTCAAGTGGAAATCAACCAAATTCGAGAAAAAAGAGTTTGAAGAATAAGAATTCAAGGAAAAGCAAGGAAAAGCTTATTAAACCTTGAAGAAAAAGAAAGGAAAAAAAGAAGTGGCACGGTCTTTTTTTTTTTTTTTCTTGTTGTCAATATTTGTGTTCCTCCTGTTGTTGTTGTTGTTGGTGTTGGTGTTGGTGTTCTTGAAAGGAAAACAGAAAGACCTCCGAAATGAAAAATGGTTCCTGAACCTTAACCGCCCACGTCACATTGAATTTCCCCCTCCAGGTGTTGATTGGATTCCTCGTGCGTTCTCCTCGTGTTTCATCGCAGGGGCTCCTGCATAACTGCGCATCCATTCTTCTCACGTCGTTCTCTTTCGTTGGTGGCTGGTGATTCAATCGACTCTCTTTAACCGCTGTCAATCCAGTCGTTCGTTCCTTGCGACCCAGTAAACCATCCAGAATCCTACTCTGTACTTGCCCGAGTCCCCGCAATTCTCCATCTCGGTTGCGACAGCTTCTAAAGTCCAAACGCGCCCGAAAGCCCTGATCTTGGCGCTAGCCCCATCATCCCCCTCTGAGAAAGGACAAACAGTCACACACACCACTCTCGTTCGTTTGAGGGTTCTTCTTTCCCTTTCGGACAAGCTCAATGGCCCTTGTGTGACGGGCCGAAAGCTGATATACGCGTGTCTCTGCGATCTGTAGCCCTGCGATTGTCCAACGGCGATGCGCCACTGATTCTCGCAACCGCCGATCGAACACGATCCACTTCTTGTCACTCGCTATTGGGATCGGCTCTCCCTACAAAAGAAACACAACTTCCTCGGTCGCTGTTATCGCCTCTGCTGCAATTTCTCACTTCGCCCGGCTGGCCCGACGAAGTTCATCCTGCCTGTCTGTGACTGGCTGCCCCTCCTTGGGCTCATTCGAAGAGTCGATCGTTTTGCTTCTCGGCAGGACCGAGAACATACAAAATGCCTTGCTGCGGCGATCGTGAAAAAGGCCCGGTATCCCTGGAGGAACAATGGGACTACATCGTACGTTCTGCCGGGTAGAGAAGTCCCCCCCCGGTTAATGTTGCTTGGCTAACCTTGATGTACTCCCTAGAATCTGAATGACTTCAAATCAGAGTCCTGTCTATCGCCATTCTCTTACTTCTTTCTTTGGGTCTTCCTCTTGATCTCAATAGCGGTATATGCGGTTGACACCTTCACTGCCGTTAATCTACTCGCTTTCTCGAAGTGGGCCGGACAAATCGAGCCTGCCATTCCTTTTACCGTCTCTCGTTGGATTTTTGCCGTCTGTATTATCATCTCGTTCGTTCTCTTGGTTTTACGATGGATCCGTGCTATTCGCGCCATTCGCTCCGGCAGTATCTCGCAGAGCTACTTGGATTCCCTCGCGGTGCGCCTTCAAAGTATTCGTATATGGGCCAGTGGCCATGGATGGAAGCGGTTCCTCGTCTTTGCCGAGCTCACCAAAAGTAGGAAGGGGGCGGAGTACGTTGCGCTGTTTGCATATTTCTCCTTTGAGAGTAGGTTCAACCATTGCCGGTTCGCAATCCGATGAATACTAATTCGATGGTTAGCCTGGATGAATGTCCTTATTGCCGATGGGCCGCGTCAAGTCGTCAATGCGATCACGTTGTATTCGGTCATGCGCATGGATCTGCTTCCCGGTGGGGAGAATGCGCCCAACACAGATGATTCATCTTCGTTCATCCAATTCTTTGACAATGTGAAGATCTTGGCCGAAAATAACAACCTGCGGGCCCTGGTCCTCTTTGGCATGCTTTTTACATTGATTATTTGGGTTTTGTCTATCCTAAAGCTGGCACTCGCCATCATCTTATACCTCATCTTTTTGTTCCATCATATTCCTTCCCAAGATGGCTCCTTGAAAGCCTACTGTCGACGGAAGATCAAAACCCGGCTCACTCGCATCGTGCGTCGGAAGGTGAACAAAGCTTTGGCCAAAGGCATGGTGTTACAAGAGCGAAAACCAACCCAACCCAACATGGGTTTGGATACGAGTCCCACCTTGCCCACTGTCGGTGGTGACGACAAGGCGCCAACTGTCACAACTCTCTCGCGCAGCACAACACAAACCACAGTGCCACCGTACTCATCACGTCCGGGGACAACCGCACCGGACCGGGCTCCAACCCTTCCGAGCGTGGCAGCGTTTGAAGACAAACCCTCGCTCAGCCGAACCATGACCCAATCATCGGCCTACTCCGCGTCCACTTCGCTCTCGGGAAGTACGGCAGTCTCAGGATATAGTCCTCTTGATCGCCAAAGCTCCCCAGCGCCGCCAGTACCTCCTCTCCCGACTCAGATTCCTATGCCTGCTTCGCGGATTCAAACACCGATGCCAAGGTTCAATAACACGCCAGGACCCGCACCTGCACCCCCAGTCGGTGGAGTAAGTGATATAGCTTCTGCGCATGGTTTTAGAGACACCGGCGACACTCAGAGTCCCTATGAGACATACCCATCTCACGATATCCCATTAACTGCACCATACCATTCATATAGCTCAACAAAGACTCCGACACGAACTCTGCCACCAGGACAAAGTATGTCCCTAGGGGAAAACGGGTCTCTTCGAACCTTTTCACCCCCCGGTCCTAGTGGCACTCCAACCCTACCTCCACTGGCTGGCTATCCTGCACGATCGTTCGGTGCGGGCGGTCAACCTCCGGCGCGACCCCAGCCCAGTTTCAGCCCCGTGGATGGGGCGGCAATGAGAAACTTTTCGCATGTCGCACCTCGCGGAACACCGCGGCCCTCCGGACCAGATGGTTATGCACCATTTAATCCCCCTTCCAGAAATTCCCCAGCACCTTTTGCGAGGGAATTCACATCAAATTCTCCCGTATATCAACAGGCAGGACCGAGTGCGTTCGCGTCCCCGGCCGAATACGATAACAGGTCTGCACCTCCACCTGCACAAGCCTACTCCAACCCGTCGTATCCGCCACAACCACAGAACTATAGACAGGATTATATCTAGTTACGATGAATGTACCCGCTAGCAATAGTCCTACTCTTTTGATAAGTTTTAGGCTTCAGATTATTTAGTAATGTATTGTCTATGCAACAACGCATTATTGAGTATAGATTATTTTTTATAATATTAGTACCACTGGTCATACTCTAGACATGACTGTTAGTGCCAGGAACTTTAAAGCATGTGTGTGTGTTTTGCTGTACAGAACATAGTACTATAGAACGGTCTACGAGGTAAGATATGATAGCTAAAAAGTTGCATTCATAAAAAAGGGTACGATGTAAATTTGTAACAGAGCGTCATCAAGATCACAACGACCACTTTCTTACTCAATGCCCTTCTTGACATGGGGCATTATTCATATTTTTGATATTTTTGATCCATGAGCGGTCGCTTTTCGTCATCTTGCAGCCATATTGGTGTTGCTCCCCAATCACACATTCATGACTTTGAATGCCCATGTCCTTAGATACACAAACAAACCCCAAGTTCTGAATCAAAGGAGTCCTTTCTTCTGTGACTTGGGACCTCACAGAGACTGGGTGTTTACCTTGGCTCCCTCCATGAAATGTTCAATCTTTGGATTACACTGATATAAGGTGCGCTTACTACATGCTGTGCTCACTCCCTGCACACAGTGGTTCGTTCCGTTATCTTCTCAGACTCTCGGTCAATTCTTTTTCATGGAGGTCTTACGGTAGCTATGCCCATAATTAAATCTGTCTCGGATGTCCTGGAGCGCGGAAAAATGCCCCATGTTGGTATCAATATCAGAGTTTATCCTTGGGATGAACGATGAAATCAGTTCCATCCTTGTTAGCCTGGTGTACCTCCGCTTTCTTAACTCGAAAGTCATAGTTTTCTCTCACTGCTGGACAATTCAGGAAATGCTGAGGTAAACCAGCCTCCAAAAAAGTTCGGTAATAGGCTTCTCTGCTGGGAGGATGTAGATCCCAAATTGTCTCCATACGTCTCCAATCATCCGCCTTGCCCTCCTCCCAGTGATAAGTGCAAGCCTGGCAGTAGGTACCTGGCTCCAATTTCTGTGTTCGGTAGTCCCAGTATGGGAATGCGACTGTTGCCTGCATTCTCCATGAAGGTCCCTCGTCTACGACCAGGGATGTAGGTGCAGACCGCCGTCTAGGGTGTCCGGCATGGATCCTTCGACGCTGTTTCCTTTTCCATTGTTGAGCCCGACGTTGATAATTTTCTTCGCGTCTCCTTAGGCGGCCCTTATATACCCGCTTCATCTCCTTAACACTTCCATGAATCTGCATCCCCAGGGCTTTTGCTTGAGTAATATCCGCCAAGCGGTATCGGGGCGGTTCAATGTTGTAGACATTTGGGAGTGAGTTAATATCTCTCTGTTTCAGTCCGAAGTGCAAGCAAATATCAGCTGCTCGCGCCAATTCGTATTCTGGTCGAAGGTAACTACATTTGTAGCATGAGCGCGTGAGTGTAGGTAAGTAAAGAAAGGGTCCAAAATGGGGACATGTCCGGCACCATGGATGGCAGAACTCTGCAAAAAGCCATTTTATAGAGAAATATGCAGAGCATTTGACCGCGTCGATGATACAGAGCGTGTGTGAGGCATGGGCCTTCCATAAGGAGTACGCCGGTAGTGATTCCACTGTCTTCCTCGCGTGTCCACTTGACGCAGCGTCCCTATGCTGCGTATGTCGAGATTGAGAAGTATCAAGTGCAGTATTTCGACTGGAAGTTGATAGACCAAAGGCGTGGGCTTTGCACTGGGCGTTTTGATCTTATTCGGTGCAGCTTTGTATAACTTGTAACTGCCATCACTCAGACGGAACTGTAGGACATCACAAGGGCGGCTTCTTGCACCGATATGCTGTACTTGAAGCCATGTTGGAAGAGAAAAGGGCAGAGGAATGAGATTTGGGACGCTTATTAGATATCTTTGCGGCTTTGATAATGTGTATTATTTCTTTACCACCTTTGAACTGAAGGCAGCCCGTTGATGGATGAACCAGATGGAAGGTAAGATCAAGCCAAAAGATCCACCTTGGTCTCCTCCTTTTTTTCTGATATCCCTTACATTTTTCCATACTACTTACTATGATCACGAATACGTCTTCAAAGTAGAAAACCGGAACTATGACCCGATGTGGGACACCATTTCTCGCGTCATACTAACCAAGCCAGACCAGAATTATCGAAAATCATGACGGATAGAATAAATCAATGAATAGATACACTTGCATGTTCGATTTTTAAACATATCAAACCAAGAACATTCTCTTGAGACCGCCAAGCACGAAACGTGAATGATGAAAGGACCTCGCTGCCTTTTCATGCATGCTTCGCTTCGCTCCGCATAAACAAACAACCTGCCCATAATTAAATGGAAGTGGAGTGAATCCACTTTCCTCTGACCGCCTTTTGGCTCGACCCTCACCGACCAGACACAATCACGGGGAGCGACAACGGAGGACATGCTAACGTCGCTTCTTCTTCTTCTTCATCTCTGCATCTTAATTTTCGACCTTGACGGCAAAACCCAGGGCCTGAATACCAGCATGGCTTCAATCCCTACCTGAATCTCGAAACGAGACACCACGTTGTTGCTCAGCTGCTCGCCAATCACCCCATGTCTGCTCTGATCGCTCATTTCAATGGTGTCTCCCCTTCTCTCATCTCTCGCCCCTAAACAAGACGAGTTTCCTCGAGTTTCGGTCGACTCGGATGATGATCGCAAGTCCTGCAACTTTCCGATACCTCGACTGGAAAGTTCTGTCCTTGCCGGAATGATGGACGGGTTACACAACGGGTCCGGCAAGCAGCAGGACACGGACGTTTTTGCGGGGTCCTCACGTTCAGAGAGTGTATCACCGAGCACCGGACAGAGGCAAACGGAGGCAGTAGCAAAAACTAAAGATCAGGAGAAAATGTCCCGAAGATCCCGACAGCTCCAACCGTCGCCGATGAATCTGCTAGATGAAGGCTTCGAAGTTCCGGTTGTCTCTGCAGAACCACACCAAAATGACTCTCAGAGCAATGGACACAGCACTGGCCATCACCGATCTCCAAGTCAGCGAACTACGAACCGCGACCAGAAAAACGTACAGTATTCCTCACCACCTGATCAGGCCTTTGGCATGCTCTTTGAGCATTCTCAGGGACCTGATGTTGTCAACGGTACTACGTCACATAGGACTTCTTTAGTGGATATCATCGATGGACCCGAGGTTGCGACTGTTCTTAACCAGTGGTCTGGAGAGGCCTCTCCAGTCAGGAACCAGGATAAGGATCGAGAGGGGGTTCCGAAACTATCTCCCGTCAAGATACAAGAGCTCACGTCCTCGCCTCAGTCGATTCCTTATCGCGCTGCGGATAGCGAACAAAGTCGCAGGGTTGTTTCTGACCAAACGCATGCTCCAAACTCACAAACGAATTTGACGGACGATGTAAGGTTAATACCCGATCATGCCACGAAATCCCGCACAAACAAAGAATTCACTCTTGATGGAGGCTTGGCGAGACCACCCACGTCGTCTACTCGACATCGCTCACAAAGCTCACGGGCTGTTTCTACCCCAACCTCTGCTCGGCGACAAACGCTACCTAGTAACGAGCGCCTTGCACAAACGTGGGCATCCCGGTCGAAGCAGGAACGTCCCAGCATAGGTCGGGAATCAGACTCTAAGCACATGAATTCTACACCACAAATGGCCGATTCTGCACTACCTTCACCCATACCGCCGTCTATTCCCCTCCCTCCTTTATCTGTTCCGACCTACCTGCAATTAGAACTTGCATCGGGCCGACCCTCCCCCTTGTACATTCATCCCTCAGCCGCCAGCGACTTCCCGTATGAGTCCTCTCGCGTAAAGCTTGAGCGGCTGATGAATTTTTTTATGCTTCCACCAGTGCTAGAGCAGGTCTTGTGGTTTGGGATACTGGCTTGCTTAGACTCGTGGCTTTATTCCTTTACCATACTTCCTCTTCGCTTTGTGAAAGCTTTGTATATTTTGCTAGAATCCTGGATGGTCAATCTGGGCGTCGAGTTTCGGTTCATGTCCGGCTTTATCATTAAAGGCGTGGGAAGAGTATGGCGAAGGCGCAACAAGGTGTCTGGGGACGGAACACACGAGCAGCGCCTGGCTTCAGAAGCTGAAGGCCGGCCGCGACAAGAGTCAGCTGGGACTGAACGAGATGCCAAAACGAAAACAACGGAGGCGCGCAGGCGGTGCCGCTCCGATATACATCACAAGTATCAACACCGTCGACAAAAGTCCATTCCGTCCGCACTGCTTCCTGACGACAAGGCAGATATTCTCAAAGGTCTACTAATGATCGCCACATGCGTGGTTCTCATGTACTTTGACGCGAGCCGGATGTATCACTGGATCCGAGGACAGGCCGCCATAAAGCTTTACGTGATATACAACGTGTTGGAAATCAGCGACCGGCTATTTGCAGCCATCGGACAGGATGTGCTGGAGTGTCTTTTCTCGCGTGAGGCCTTGGAACGCCGGCCGAACGGACGAAGTAAAGTCTTCCGGCCCTTCGGGCTCTTCCTGTTGGCGTTGGCCTACACGGTGGTACATGCCACGGCGCTTTTTTATCAGGTCATGACGCTGAATGTGGCTGTCAATTCATACTCAAATGCTTTGCTCTCTTTGCTACTGTCGAATCAGTTTGTCGAGATTAAATCAACTGTCTTTAAGAAATTCGAGAAAGAAAACTTGTTTCAGTTGACTTGCGCAGACGTGGTGGAGCGCTTTCAGCTTTGGCTTATGCTCATCATCATTGCTTCGCGCAATATCGTGGAGACGGGCGCATTCAACTTCATTGGCAACCTGGGCTCCAGTTTTAGCAGCCAGTCGACGAGCACCAATAGCACACCGTTATCAACGCCACCACGAACGATGTCGTCGATCCTACCGCAATCGTTCACGATTGTGCCTTCATCCATCATTGCGTCCTTCAGTCATGTGAATTCGTTTCTCCCCACTCTCGCCCAGGTCCTCGGGCCTTTTCTGGTCGTATTGGGGTCCGAGATGCTTGTTGACTGGCTCAAACACGCATACATAGGCAAATTCAATAACACACGTCCCGCCATCTACAAGCGTTTCCTGGACGTTTTGACAAAAGACTATTATACGAATGCCTTTGGAGATCAGAATCTAACCCGTCGGTTGGGACTGCCGGTCATCCCGTTGTCATGTCTATTCTTTCGGGTTTCTGTCCAAACGTATCAGATGTTCCTGGCCGCTTTGCTGCCGCAACACCCCTCATCTACGGCTGTGGAGTCGACATCGTTATCTTCAATCTACAGCCACTATGTCCCCGCTCCACTCCCGTCCCCACCGCCGCTGACGCTGCGGACGATCGTGCCAGCATCTGCGGCCCATTTGAACACCTTTTTCAGGCAGCTCCTAGCGAATACTATGCCATCCCCAGCGCAATCCGTGTACATCTTCACCGTCGTTCTCATTCTGACGGGATATGTGGTGTTACTGATCGTGAAACTGCTACTGGGAATGGTGTTGTTGGCTTATGCTCGCTCCCGCTATCGAGCGATGAAACAGCGGGAGACGGAACAATCGTCTCATGAGAACGGTGGCCCACCCCGCGCACGAGAATATGCGGTAGAGGGCAGTCGTCGGTTTGGCGGGTGGGGGGTGGTAGAAGTCAATGACGACCACCGACGGTGGATCTACACGGATGATCCTGAGGCACTACGACGGCTGAAGGCCAAAGAAGAAAAGGAGAAGAATTCCAAGGAGGAGCTGAATATGGACCATGTTCGACGGTATGAGATGGTGGCCAAGAGGATCTGGTGATTCGATAATGACCTTGTAATTTTTTACTTTTGTACCTTAGATTACGTGTAGATACCTAATCATATTGTAGAATAAGTGTGTGTGTGTGTGTGTGTGTGTGTGTGCACGCGTTGTTGTTGTTGGACTGCGAGTATGTAATGGAGGATGCATGTCTGCAAGTGAACGTGGCTCCAGTCCGTTGGGCCGGAACGACAGCATGAAAAAGGAAATTGTCATTCAAACTTCGAGACGAAGTGGAGCCTTTTACACTTAAACCTGAACCTCGGGAATTTTCTACTACTACTTTTTTTTTTTGTTTTTTCACTGCCGTGCTGACTCCACCAGTAGCTCGCTCCATCTTTGGGACTAACGAACCTGAATTTTTTCGAAGTTCCTCATCGTGCCGCTCGTTTCTCAGGAAGACGAAATAAATCAATGAAATATGTGAATGGGTATATACTCCTTCCTCTTCTCTTTCCCTTTTCCTCCTGACGTACTCATGGAATCGCTAAGCTAGGATGGACAACAAGCATGAAACCCATCAGAGCACAAGGCAACCCCATGCAACATTGCCTGATTGCTGTCCTAGTCTGAATCATGTTCAATCCCCGAATCCCGAAGGAAGGACGGCCCAGTACCTTGGCAGCAAGCAATGGCCTCCCCACTCGCTCTTCTAGCGTTGGCTGTGGAAACTCAGCCCACGAGCCGGAAAGCCACGCTACTGTCAGTGGATCCCTCGTGCCAAATAGTGTTTCCTTTAGTACGCATTCCGAGACCTTGGGTCAACGGTTGGAGTGGTCTTAGTCCACTTACTCAGGATCATCTTAGTCTAGGCTTCGAAAATAGAGTCAGGGGGCCTTTTTCTCCCCCTTCGTTACCCTTTTGAGGGTTGTGCATGGCTATTGACGTTTTTGGCCTGCCTTACCCATGGCTTGACATGTGGAGAATGCAGGGGATGGTCATGACGTTATATGTAGGAATTGGCCCCGGTATCTTTGAGTGTGAGCACAGTCGTTTCTTTCCCTCGGATTTTAGCTAGTCATTCATGATGGTGGGCTTCGTGCACACTTTGTTGTTAAGGCTTTGGCATCGACTTAGGAAGACCCTGGCCTGTAAGGGCTCGGTCTCTCCAGATGACGAGGTGTACCTGCTTAATCGCAGTCCCAAAGAATCTGCCAGGTAGGTAGTTCATAACTCAGCTGCCTGCCTCATCCTTATTGGTGAAAGCTAATGGCACAGGCTCAATGCCCAACATAACTTTCTCGTCGACTTAATTGGTGGTCGATGCATTCATCCTGCCATCCCTGTAGAGGATATCACGACTATAGCAGACGTTGCAACGGGGACCGGGTAAGCGTGCCCAGTGCTCCCCCTTTTTCTTTCTTCGGCTTCCCAAAAAAAAAAGTACAAGGGCGTGCTAACAGACCCAAGGATATGGCTCTCGTCCCTCATCACGGCCCTTAAAACACATCCTACCAATCGTCTCTATCTCCATGGCTTCGATATCTCCTCCGCCCAATACCCATTCTACAAGGATATTGCACCCACTCATGAACTTCACCTCTCCACTTATGATATGCGCAACCGGTTTCCCCCAGAGCATAGAGGCCGATATGATTTAGTACATCTTCGGCTTCTCGTCGGTGCCCTTAAAGAAGAAGATTATCCTCAGTCGATGCGTAACATATATGAGCTTCTCAGTGCGTTCCTTCCCTTTTCCATATCCTAAACATGCTAAACATACTAACGGGTACACACAGAACCAGGAGGCTACCTCCAATGGGATGACTGCGACACGACTGCGTTCTCCACCGCCGAATCATCGCCTGATCCATTCATTCTCCGCATGCAGGAGACTGTCGCGTCAGCAGCGGTGAACCTAGGGCTATGTCCGACGGCGCCGGTGCTGATCGAGAAGCTAGCCAAACTAGTGGGTTTCGAGGATGTATCCCGGCAGTCTTATAATACCATTGATAAGCCGTATCTGCATAATTCCGCACGGGCATGGCTGGTCCAGGTCTTGCGGTCATTGCTACCGAAGTCGATGCTAGGGACCGGAGAGGCAACGGACGAGAAAGATGCCGTGGAACGGACCGAGCGGTTAGTAGAAGAGCTGGAGAGTCGCTGTCAGAATGTTTTGCCGGTGGTGAATCTGCATGTTGTTCTTGGAAGGAAGCCTTTGAAAGGTTGATTTTGAGCGTTGCATTGACGATGATACGAGTTGCATACTGGGTCAGATATGGTTGGACTCCTTGGTTGTTCTTTCTATCCTGTGTTACTAATATATGCAGCGGTTAATAACTAATGTATAAGACTGATGTATATACGATTGAATCACATAATGCTGACGATTCTTCACGACATCATGACATCCTACATTTTCATGACCTTTCTCGCTACACAATTACTTATATCGTTTCCTCTTCTCACCACCCCGCAGATCTACCATACCAATGATGCATCTTGGTTGAACCATTTCTAGCACTGGAATCAGCTGCACCTCTCGAACGTTTAAGATACGTTCTCCTTTTTCACCCTCTATACCCTACCATCACTACCTACCATGGTTATCAAATCCACTGCACCGACCCCCTCAATCACGGCCACATCACACCAGCCTACAATGGAGTCCTCCAGGACATCCTCCATCTTCATCCTCTAATACCATCCCCACCCCCCTCAGACTCCTCCAGAACCAGGCTACCTCAATCCTACAGACAGCCTCACCCACCACGTCCCACACTCACTTATACCCCACAACACCACCCATCCGATTAACAGCCACAGAACAATCAACCTGGCACACACCCTTCTGGTCCAACATTAACAACTACCTCACGACCTTAACCTGGACATTGTGGAAATGAACCAGGTGATAGGGCCACATCCTCTCTCCCAATGCTATTCCCCTCCCAGAGATGGACATCGGGGCTTTCATCCGTGACGGGGATCCCCTGGGACTATCGAAGCACTTAAGGATTTGTTGGTCGTGCCAGGTTGTGAAGTGGAGCATCACCTGGGACGCGATTTGGAGGTGGTTTTTAATGTGGTGAGTGGGCTGCAGGAGGGGTTTTTTAAAGTTGGGGAGGTCAGGGTTTTTGAGTATTCCTATGAATTTGGATGGGGCTTCTGTTGGAAGGATGGACTATCGATTCTCTGAGAGGGCTGAGGCAGTAGGGAGAGTTGTGTTACTGACGGTGGGGTAGATGAGGCTGAGGAGGGAGATGGTGAAGAAGGCGGAAAGGAAGAACTTGAGGAGAAAAGAGATCCTGATGACGATGACGATGCTGACAAAGATAGTGAGGGTGAGGCAGTAGACGACCGGGAAGACAGTGAAGAGGACGATGAAGAGGAGGAAGAGGAGGCGGATAATAATTCCGACAGCGTTACTCTCACTAACGGAGATGATGTGGAATGCTACGACGGTGAGGTGGTCAGCGCTTCTGAGGAATGCGATAGCTTGACGACAGAGGAAAAGACGTGGTTCAGGAAAATGAATCTCTCATGGAGACCTCAGCCAACGACAACAGCATAAATGATGCTGGATAACATTTGGAACGATGGCATAGGGTTGGGTGGTCTGGACACATTGTTCAGTTACATGTCCGGCCTCATCCCCTACTTCGATTGCTCTTGTCCTAGCGTATCTTTTTCTTGCTCAATACTAATCGAATCATAATACATCTTGTTTACTATACTTTCTGGAAAAGATTATGGCATAGACTGATGTAAAAGTAGCTCTACTCTGGGTTGATATCCAATGTGAAAGAAAAGAAGAATAACGTAAAGATGATGTCTAACGTTTTTTGGCAATGAAGTTATCTGGCTCTGAGTCAATAAATTGTGGTGGAACGTTCGTGTGATATCCTCTAGTAGTCTACTCACTTCTACTCTTCATAATAAACTGCAGGGCGCTTCATTGAGGATGGTTTTCTTTCTAGTCAATCCTACAAAAAGATCCGAGGGCTATTTTCCGTCCTTATCAAATGAACATTCAATTTAATTATACCCTCACCAATGTTGAAAAGAAATTGAGGAATACAAGATCGTTTCGCCAATTTGCAGCTAAAAGTGACGTCGACTTTGGCTCCATTAAGTATTATGCTCTAACTCTGCTTATCCCACCCAAAACACCTCTTCGTGGATCACTTCCGTTCCCTCTCCGGTAGGCGCGAAAACACATAGCTGAAGATCTCCCGGCTCTTGTACAAGTTCTGCACGCGCAGTCTCTCATTGTACAAGTGCGCATTATCACTCGCCTGCCCGCAGGGAAGATTGGCTGCCGGCGCCGAGAATTCCTTCTCTAGGAAACGGATTGTCGGAATAGATCCTCCCTCACGGATATATATAGGACGGACGCCAGACGGCCCGGGTACCGGTTCGGGAGGGGGAGGCGTTTCTCCCTGAGGCGCTGGAGATGTTTCTCTGGTGGAACCACCCGACACAACTGCGGGGCTGGATTTGCTAGTCAGTGTCGATGATGTGGGTACACCCACGCTGAGAGAGCTGCGTTGGCGCGTCTCTGCCTTCCTTGCTGAAGATGTGGTCGATGACATGATAATACGATCAATATGGGAAGCAAGACTATCCGAAGAATCTTTCCGAGTAAGTCGAGGACCTGGCTGCTTGGACAGCTTGCTGACCGTTCGGTCTTGTTGGTTTCGCTGAACTGGGGGATATTGATGTTTCTGGTCCTGCGTGTCTGGCGTCCAGGCTGCTGTGATAGCCTCCGCAAGAGTCTCGAACATCTCGTTGTCCGGATCACCTAACCAGGGATCGGACTTACCCGTGATCTCAACCGTCAGGTCGTTTTGCGATTCTAGGAGATCAAATTGCTCCTGTGCATACATGGTCAAACTTGCTGCAACATCGTCTGCTTCCTGGTTGGGCACTAAACGGATAGATACACTGGCTTTCGCCCGGCGTGAGATGGTTGTTGTCGTGCTCTTGCTATTGCCCGGCACCTCGATGGAGTGGATGGTAAGGGCTGGCTCCCTCCACCGATGCATAAGTGAGTCAATCAAGGCATCGCGGTCGGTAATCTCGGGGTGTTGCTGCAGAAGAATCTGCGCGATCTCCGCATATCGCTGCTTCTCGGCCTCGGGGAGAGGCAAGACGCGGTCCCGGAAGTCGGGGAGATTAATGCGGCCTTTAGGTCCCACCAGAGTGCCGATCAGCAAGGTAAGGTCCTTCAGCGGTTCATCCAACAATGCGCTTCCATCAATACCGCTATGAAGGTCGGGGTGGTCGCTGGTTACAATTAGGTTTGCATGGACGACACCACGTTGTCCATAGGTCAAACATGGGTTGTAGTCATCCAGCCAGTAACTGTTGGCAAGTAGGATGTAGTCCACCGAACCAATCTGCTCCTTGTGTCGTCGAACAGTTTCATGGAAGCCCTGGGAGCCCGATTCTTCCTCACCTTCGATGAGGAAAGCAATATTGCATCGGAGCGCCTTTTGGCGTGCAAGATCTGCAGCCGCGTATAAAGCAGCCAAGATGGGGCCCTTGTTGTCGGATACACCGCGGCCGTATAGGAAACCATCCATCGAAGTAAGCTGGTAGGGATCTGTTTTCCACTTGGTAAGGTTGGCATCGGCCCCGACGACATCGTAGTGGCCGTAGAACAAAATAGTTTTGTCAATCTTCTCCGAGGAAGTTGCATTGAACCGTGCGTAGACAATCGGGTTCGTGTCTTTTCCGGTGGTGAGAAGTTTCGTCTTGGCTCTCAGGTAAATGCAGTGTCTTCGTAGAAACGCTGCACCTTGATTGCATTCACCCGCAAATTTGGGGCTAGCTGAAACAGTCTTGAAAGCGACAAACTTGGCAAGGCAGTTAACCATTTCATCTGTATATCGTTAACAACAATGCTTATTCAGGATCGCATCATCCCTTACCGTTGTTGATTGGAGGTAATTCATTCTGCTTTAGGGACACGTCTGTCAGATCCCAGATACCAACAGTGTTGTCGTTTCCTCCTGAAGCATAAATAAATCGGTCTTTGTGCCGACCAGCGGCCGACGCGAGCATTGTTCCCTCATGAGCGGTCCAGCTGCCAACCTCCTCAAATCGAGAGTTAAATTTCTAATTGAGAAACAGGTTAGCTACGGTTTCTGGAGTATTGGATAGAAAGTTAGTACCTTAACGATACCATTTGAGTCACCACACACGGCCACTCCATGGATAATATCAACCGCCCACAGATCGCCGGTGTGTCTAGTGATGCGTTTAACGAGCTGATGAGAATCTAGGTTCCAGATGTTTAATGCGCCACCTGCGAGGCCACAGTACAGAAATGACCCGTCGACCGCGATAGAGAGTACTGGGTCACCATTTTGCAGCTTTGCCATTTGGGATGGCGCCGCGTTGGATTTGTCTTGATCCAGACGCCAAAGTTTGACAACGCCATCTCCAGCACCGGTGATAAGTACTTCCTCAGAAGGTGCCGACTCAACCAGCCCTCGCACGAGGAGCATCGTGTATACATAACCATGGTGGGAAAATATCCTGTGGTGATCACGCTTAAAGGTGAGAACTTGACCACCCTGGGTGACCGAATGGCTTCCGTCCGCTCCCGCGTCCGGCCTCGGGGCACGAGTGCCATCAGGGCCCCGAGAATCAAAAAACCTATGGGTCCTTCTCGAAAGGTGAGCCGCTGACAATTGTGTGGCAGCCGCATCAGCTTGTGAGATATCACACCACTGGGCCACGTCAGAAGGCTCATTCAAGCGAAGTCAGATGAGAACTTACCTGGATACTGGTGTTCTGGCCAGCGCAGTAGATAGTCTTCAAGCTTGGCGAGTAGGCAACTGCGAAAATATCACCTACATCATGGTGGGAGTGAATCGAGTATAAGCGATCAAAGGTCCTCGTCGACCACACCTATGCATGTTAAGCCTCACTCTGCATAAATCGCGTTAAAGGGTAAATTACATTGACGACTGAATCTCCGCCGCTAGAGAAAAGCAACTCTTTGTCCTCGGAGAGATGAAGATCTAGAACGCTTTCCTGGTGAGCATGCACAGAAAGCACGAGCTCGTATGTCTGGAGGGACCATGCCTATCGGACGTAAGCCAATTAGAGTTGCAATGGAGTAAGGAAAAATCGTTCCACCACATACTACAATGTCTCCACCCTGGAGACCAGCAAACACGCAGTCATCGTCTAAGACTAGTGCTAGGACAGACCGACTGGCCTGAACACGGTGGCCGATGCCACATTCAATCATCGCATTGGGGTTATTCGTTTCATCGTCGGTGAGGTGCGTAGTTAAAGAACGCGGATCAGATTCCCAGGTCTTGGTCTGTTCATCAATTTCGGACGTGCTATCCGATTCATGTAGTACTGTGTGGTCCATCGCTGACACGCAATGGCCGAAGAAGTCTCAGCCAATGTATTCTATTCGGATATCAACTGATCAACGGAGTGGTTCCACGTGACACTCTTGCAACCACTCTTCCTTTGTATAAGCCAGTACTATTGGAGGATATACGGCAAAGAGAGAAACGGATATACAAAATTTGCAGATTTTTAGTACATCAAAGTGGAAAAGATTATTGCATGGGAAAGCAGAAAGGAAGTTGAGTCAATTGTCCCAAAATGGTAAGGTCTTGGGACTGGAGCAAATGTCGTGATTTCAATGGCGGTGATGTATGGCAAATGCGCAGAAGTGTGGCGGTGCACCAGGGAACAACAACACCGTCAAGCAACAACTTATTACCTACCTTTTCTCTCGCGGAATGGATATCTGCCACAACACTCCTGCCTGCGGTCGGTCAACACGTTAAAACTTTCTTCAATTCTCTGAGCCATCATTCGTCTCTATTTCTACCCCGAAACTTACATCCACCCTGGAAAAGGATAGCAAATCCGTGGATCCATACGGGAAAATAAACTGACCTGGGTTCCCAGAGTAAACGAGCTATTAATGCGTCATTCTTGCTTGAAGACATGGTTCAAAAACCATCAGTGAGATGTGCGGTACAGGGTACGAAGAAATTTAATGGTCGAGGAAGTTCGAAAGGGTGGCATACTGGCCCTATATGTGAGATAACGGGGTCCCTATTGAAACCGGGCACGGTTGCGATCAGTGGGAAGCTGCAGATTAATCTTCAAGGGCATGGAATCGATCCGTCAGTGTGGTCCACAGAATTCGACTAAGAGTGAGTCTGATTCGAGCCCCTGAACATCATTGCGCAGCATTGATCGGGTTACGCTGCATATTGCGGGTTGGCTGTACGACCTTCTGGGCAGCTATCTAATGGTCTCATTATCAGTAGCACCACCAATCTTTGTGGAGTCATATCGTACAGCCCTTCTCCTTGGATCCGATTTGATGTTCTATATAAAAACCGTGATGCGTCAGTCCGGGTACATGGCAAATATTTGCAGCCCAGAATTGTAGACCTGCGTATGGTACGGTATGGTACTATCTCCCTGTGGGTGTGGCGGTACATCACCAGCCACAGTGGCGGTGATGGCCTTGACCAATCACACCAGCCAGCATCACCGCCATTCCTTTGAAGTTTCGGACATGTGCCTTCCATGTCATGGGGTTTTTCTCTTCCCCTGACTAGGCTCGTTTCTATTCTAGTTGAATGAACTGGATGGATTCTTTCCGAAGGGAAAATAGGATGCGTCATCGCCGAGCAAACACTCGGACACCGTACTATTTGCCTCATTATCAGGTACAGACAACGAAAACATTGTCTTCCCCTCTCCTTCTACCCAACGGATCTCCATGAGGCGATTGGCACCCCACAAGGACACCAATAGGGCTGTCAGGGTGTGCGGTGACAGCAAACACTGACCCCACCGATTGGTCGCGGCATAATCTATACGAACAGCCATTCACAGTCTATTTCCCCAAGGCATTTTCCCCAAAATCGGCTGCCTTGTTACTGAGCGTCATCGACACCCAACCGTAAACGCTTTTGGCGGTGTTTAATCCTGTTCGTTGCTTCGTGCCCATTTTAGGCGCCTGAGTCGCTATCTCGTCCTTTTTCAACCCACCCAGCCCCCTCATTTTTTCCCCTCTACCAATTTTTCCCTTCCAATTATTTGACTTATCAGAACACCTCCTTCGTGGCCTTTTTCTCCGATGCAAAGCGATTCCGTGTCGTGTGGTCGTTTGACTTTCCAATATACTTGTTAACTCTCCGGAAATCGCCGTCTGATTGTACATATCCCTGACCACAGCCTAGCGGAAACTGTTTCCATCAGGCAACAGCTCTTCGTTCATAGAAATTTCGCCATCGCATTCTTTATTATATGAACTCATCATTCAGCCCTGCTGCTTTTCGTTTGTTTCCTTACCGGGCCTAGAACGATAATTTTCTTTCTCAAAGTTTAAAAGATCGGGTCGATTCTCCACCCAGTGGGCTTAGTTTCGATATTTATATACTCGATTACATTACCCTGTACACCGCTCGTCTCGGGGCTATTCGCTTATCACTTTATAAGCGATCGCTTATCAGCATCCTTTAGGACTTTTGATGTGGACGGATCAACATCGCGATTGACTAGGAAGTCGGTCGTGACCTCGACATTGATCATCATTTCAACCACTAAGCAGTGGTATACTGCTCATCAATTATAATGGCCCCGTTCGGCGAGACCGTTGCCGTGATTGATAAGTCCGGCAAGGTAGTGAGTACGGTAGGTGTCATGCCCCCCGCGGTTCATACGACATTTGCTAACAGCTTTCTCTGGCAGAGCAAACAATTGTTTGGTGTTTTCAGTCACGCCAAGAATGCATATAGCGCCCGCAAGGCCCAGTTCCAATCAGAGCGGAATGCTATCATCGCCGAAAGAGAAGCTCTGAGGGCTATACAAAATTATACCATTGACGATGCGCCCTCCGTCGCCTCTTCGCGCAGAAGTCGTTCGCGACATCATTCTGGCCGCAGTCACCATGCTCGGCAGTACTACGATGACGACTATGAATATGAGCAAGACCGCGGTTCCGTTGCGTCGCGCCCGGACTCTTACTATAACCGACCGCAGGACCTGGTCCGTCGGCACACTCATCATGATATCGTCACGCGGGGTCCCGAAGCTCGGCCAACAACTAGTCGCTCAAAGTCTGATGCACAAATCGACATGGACCTGGCGTACGGCGACTATAATCCTCACTCATTGACCAAGGCTCCGCCACAACAAACCCAACTTCAGAAGATTGAGGACCCGGAACTGAGCGGTCTAGTAAACCGCGCACAGTGGCTCATAGAGGAAGCTAACTGTGTGCACCACAGTGCCACAACCACGATTGCTCATCTTCAAAAGAATCCCGATGCCATGGCTGCAGTTGCACTCACTCTAGCCGAGATTAGTAACATTGCCTCGAAGATGGCCCCGGCCGCTCTTTCGTCACTCAAATCGGCAGCCCCTGCTGTTTTCGCACTGCTTGCCAGCCCGCAGTTTCTCATCGCCGCCGGTGTTGGCCTCACTGCGACAATTGTCATGTTTGGTGGTTACAAAATCATCAAGCATATGTCCGGCAATGGTAACGAAGTCAGTCGAGGACCAGATCGCGGCCCCGGCCCTAGACCGAGTGAGTCCGTTGGTATGGATGACATGGTAGAGATCAACACCGAATGCCTTAGCGGTGTTGAAATGTGGCGACGAGGTGTCGCCGATGCAGCTGATGAAAGTATCGGCACCTCTGTCGAGGGTGAATTCATCACCCCAACTGCTGCTATGATGTCCGGCGTCGATGTTACCACTGCACGCATGATGCGGGATCCTCGTTTCAAGTTCGATGACGAAGAATCGAGGGCATCGTCTCACCGGTCTCATCGTTCACGCCCCCCAAGATCTCGCGCGCCTACCCGAGTGGACGAAAGGCCAGAGTCTTACGTGGCTTCCAAGGCACCGACTAAGTCCTTCTTCGGTATTCCATCGAAAGCGCCATCTAGGGCCCCATCTAAGGCGCCGTCGAGAGCCCCAAGCAAGGCACCATCGAAGGCACCCTCCCGAGCTCCATCTAGGGCTCCTTCCAGAGCTCCGTCGAAGGCGGACTCCCGCCATTCACATCACTCTCACCACTCAGACCGGGACGCGCAACCCAAAGAGAAGAAGAAGCGATCCAGCAGGTTGCGCCTTATGTTTACGGCTTGAACTTGAAATATCCCATTTTATATCTCCCAACGACAGCATATGACCGCTATTGTATACGCCACTGTACATATTTTACTTGATTCCCTTATGACAAATCATTAGCAAAGACCAGCACATGACCGACGGATACCAGTACGAAGTTATTTTACGGTCGACCTTTTCGTTCTCATCATTTCCTTTCTATCTCTCCTAGTTCTCTTATGCCGGACCAAGTCCGGGACTACCTGTTATATAGTGATTGCATCATACGGCGTTGGAATGATACTCTATAAGTTCAACCACACTCTAGATCGGAGGGTATTTGTTTCTCTTCGATAGATTCTCCTATCTGGACATACACAGATTGCATGTCGATACATCACCAAAAGTTTTTCGAAATAGTTCAAACAAACAAGTCAAAACGAGAATATCCCATTATTCTGTATATCTCCAATAGTCCATAGAAGATAGCCCTATGAGTACCCCTTTAAATAAACCAGGTACAACAATCAGGTAAAACAATCATCCGCCCAATCCTCAGCAGCACAACCAACCAAACAGAGCAAACAAGATCCCCACACCATCCATGGACTAAAACAACCACCCCTCCAATAAATATATCTATAAAACCCCGTATGAAGATACACATCCATGTCCCTCCCATCCCTTCTTTCCCTTACATACCATACAATCAATTGTAACCACAAAAATGGACACCATGATCCCACAACGCCCCGTCCCACCAAAAGACGCTCTCAAACAATTCTACCTGCACAAAACCCTCTCTGAAGTCCCTAAGCCCGCCGCCGTGCTAGACCTAGCCATCATCAAACGCCACTGCAACTCAATGCTCCAGACAATCCAAACCCTAGGCGTAGGATTTCGAGCCCACGTCAAAAGCCACAAAGTAAGTTCAATAACCATACATCAAACTCCCTGTAACCAGTCCACCCCCTGCCCAAGAAACAAAAAAAAAAAATCTCCCGTAGCAAACCCCACCCCAAAACCCAACCCCCAAACTAAACAATGATAACAATGCTCAAAGACAACCGAACTATCCCGTCTCCAAGTCGGGACATCATTACCGGAAATCAATTTCGTGGCCTCCACAGTCCTAGAAATTGAGAGTCTGGTTCCCTTGTTGAAAGAGTTCCAGTCCGAAGGCCGCAAAGTGAATATCGTATATGGGATCCCACTCGTCCCATCCCAGGTTTCCCGGTTGGCCCATGCAGCGGCAGAACTTGGGCCGGACAGTGTCTCGGTGATGATTGATCACCCGGACCAAATCAAGTTTCTAGATACCTTTGCCCGGATTGCGGGGTTCGCGGCAGGGGTTTTTCTTAAGGTTGATTGTGGGTATCATCGGGCTGGATTGCCACCGAAGGCGATGGATAAGGGGGGCTTGTTTTCGAAATTGGGGAAGATGGAGAAGACGGGAGCCGGCAGATTGGTCGGGGTTTACTCACATAGTAGTTTGAGTTATGGGGGACGGAATCGGGGGGATGCACTCAGGCATTTGAGGGGGGAGGTTGAGGCTTGTTTACTTGCTTTGGATTCTTATGCGGGGGCTTTGCCCGTGGATAGGGAGTTGGTTGTCAGTGTGGGTGCGACGCCGCAGGTTGTTGCTGCGGAGTCTGTGGCCGAGGGAGATGATGCTGAGTTTGAGGAGCTGAGGAAGTTCCTGAAGGAGCCGGATACGGGGTCGTTCAAGGGACGGGTTAGGGTTGAGTTGCATGCGGGAAATTATCCGTTGCTGGATATGCAGCAGATGAGTACGAATGCGGGGGGTGTGCGCGAGAGGTTCTTTGATGAGGTGGGTGCGTATGTGGTGGCTGAGACTTGCAGTGTTTATAACGATGGGGAGCGTGAATATCCGGAGGCACTGGTCGCTGTGGGCACTTTGGGTATGGGGCGTGAGCCTTGTCCGAGTTATAAAGGATGGGGGGTTGTTGGACCTTGGGGCTTGCCAGCCACCCAGCAGGGGGATCGTTTGTTTATTGATCGGATCAGTCAGGAGCACAGTATTCTGAGGTGGGAATCGGAGGATGTTGCGAAGAAGATCCCCCTGAGTGTTGGCCAGACTGTCAAGGTATATCCCAATCATGCGTGCATAACGGGGGCGATGTACGCGTGGTACTTGGTGGTCGACTCGAGTAGTGACCCTGATGCTACAAAGATAGTTGATGTCTGGGTGAGGTGGCTGGGATGGTAGTATGTCGTTATACTGTAAGAGACGTGATGAAATGCACACTTTTCCAAGAAGCAGCCACTGAAGCTGTTTATCAGACTACTGGTAGTATATCCCGGTATACCTATCCAATAGACGGCCCGGAAGGCCCAGGAAGTGGATGCTAATGCCGCGTCAAGCTCCCAACCACGCCATACGTGCCCGTAGGAGGAAATAGCCAAAGACTAGTTGCTTCATGAGCTAGTGAAGCCTCATGTTTTCGATACATGTTTTGATTCAAAAAACATATCGGAACTGTAGTTTACAACGAGTCTGATTTTTCATGTGCCATCAGGCGATGTCTTGTAATGGTAAATATCAGCCATCGATCAGACTGAAGTAATACTAAGAATAGTACGTATAAATGATTAATCTGTCATTGGATCTGCCGCATAGAATACGTAAAGGATCTCTCCCAGCCATGGGCCTTTCATCTAAAATCTAT